TCAATGGTCTCTGCTAGCTCTTCTCAATGGTCTCTGCTAGCTCTTCTCAATGGTCTCTGCTAGCTCTTCTCAATGGTCTCTGCTAGCTCTCCTCAATGGTCTCTGCTAGCTCTTCTCAATGGTCTCTGCTAGCTCTTCTCAATGGTCTCTGCTAGCTCTCCTCTATGGTCTCCGCTAGCTCTCCTCAATGGTCTCTGCTAGCTCTCCTCAATGGTCTCTGCTAGCTATCCATTGTTTGCCAAAATACTTTGCCTTCCTGTGTTGTTGTTAGTGGAGTCGTTCGGAACGATTTTTCCTGTATTTACAGCCTCTTTCTTCCCAATCTTTTCGCCCTCTCATTGACCATCGAAAATCGGGGCCCATCCAGGCGGCTTTTGCATTTTTCCGGAATTTGCAGTCGGGGTGGGCGGGTTGAGTGGCGCCCTTGAAATGTCCTTTCAGCCCATCAAGTGCCCCCATGAATTGAACAGCTGATTTTTCGCTTTCCTCAATGATCTTTGCTAGCTGGCCGTCGTCATTTGGGTTCAACGGGATCATAAGTAATCACTGCTAGTATGCCTTTACGAGAGACAGCGAGAGAGAGAGACAGAGACTGTCAGCTTCATGACTACCTTTTGCCTTCCCGGTGCCTTTAAAATGTCAGCAGACCTCCGAATTTTTACCAAACCTTTTTATGCTGTTTCTCCACTGCCGCAAATTATTTGAACGTGATGACGGGCGCAAAAAACCAGGCAATTTCCGCAAATTTCCGCGGCACCGCGCGCTCATCCCCTTTCACCGGAAATCCCGGTTTTTTCGGCTGATTGGCGCATTTTTGCGAGGGGCGGAATGGGGGTGAATAATAATGTTCACATTCTCTGTCTGTGTCTCTCTTTCTCTCCCGCTCTCGCTCTTTCTCTCTCGCTCTCTCTCTCTCTAACCCTCGCTGTCTTACCCTTTCCATCTGAGACCCTGATTCGGCCAAACGAATTCGGTTTTTGATGATACTACGGTGGCTCTGGTTCTAAAAGTTTTAACCTATAGAAAGCTAGAGAGAGAGAGAGCGAGAGAGAGAGAGAGATAAAGTGAAAAAGACACATAAAAAGAGACCGAGAGAAAAATTCCAGGTCAAAGTTTTCCAAGTCTCTGAACGATGACAATTCCGGATTTTTACGCCATTTTCTGGGTGACCAGCGTGAGCACGTGGATTAGTCGTCTCTGCTCATTTTCTTGTCGCCAGCTATTTTTAGGCCTTTTTCTGTTGGACCGCGACGCTCATTTTCCCTTCAAAGCCATCTCTCTCTCTCTCTCTCTCTCTCTCTCTCTCTCTCTCTCGCATCCATTCATCCCCCATATCCCTTGAAATAACAATAGCAGAACGACACGTAGTTGGCATTGTCTTTCTTCTCTTTTCCGTTCCTTTACAATTAACGTGAGTATCTGAGCGTTATTTGGAGCGTGTGGGATTGAGATATTGTGCCTGAAATGTACCTGTGAATATAGATTTTGTTCTCTCTCTCTATCTCTCTTTCTCTCCCTCTCCTGTCTCTCTTTCTATCGCCAGTAGACTAGCAAAGACCGTATTGAAGAGATCATAACGCACTCTAGATACACTCTGGTCTTTCCAGTCCCTTTAAAACCACCGAAATGACTTCTTTCTGCCTCCAAAATCGGAACCCAATCCAGCGTCAGCGGCGAAGTTCGAGCGCATCGTTTAGTACGTAAATTGACGAGAGACAGGGAAAGAGAGAGAGAGAGAGAGAGAGAGAGAGAGAGAAAGAGAGAGAGAAAGACAGAGAACCAACCCTAAAGCCGGTTCAAATTTGTTTGGGTAGCGTCCGATTTTATGAGTGGCCCAGAACTTGGCCAATTCCCGAAGCCAAGCCCCGGGCAGAAGCCTCCGAATTCAAACACATGCCCCGGGCCAAAAGCCTCCCTATTTGCCAATGCTTCGGTTGCTTGCATTCTTGTTCGTTTTTTCGACTTTCGAAGCCCAACCACAATCCGCCGAGTTCAACAAGTTCAAGGCACAATTCGTGCGCAAAAATGGCATTTGCAGATGGGCAAAAATCTGTTGATGTTTTTGTGCGAAATCCGTGATCGGTATCACCGCGTAGTCTATGGCCGGAGAATTTGTTCGCCTGCTATTTTTTGGTGGGGAGGATTTCGGGTCATGACGGGTTGGCCTTTCACAATTTGTCACTATCCCCACGGTTTTGGTTTTTGAATTTTGGAGCTCGAGTTTGGGACCTGGGAGCTGGGATCTTGAAGTTAGCAAAGCAGAGCTGGGTTCGAATAATCGGCACTGGGCTGTTAGCGGGGGTGGGGGGGGGGGTGGGGTTCTGCGGTAAGCTATTTTTAATTTTTGCTTTTCTTTTATTTTTGCTTTCACCGTTAAAAAGATAAAGTATATTTTTATAGTGTTTTAATAGTTTTAAGTTGCTAGAATATTATAACGATTTCCAATTGTTTTTAAAATTAAATTCAACCTTTTTTGTTAATTTTTAACAAAAGTTCAAATGTTTTCGAAGACGAAATAATAAATATTTTACCATTTTTACTATTACTATTTTTCCTTCTTCTCAAGTCTTTTAATCCACCCATTCGAGAGCAACAGACAGAATGCCTTGAATTATTCTCCCCGTTGATCGGCTGGGCTGCCTGTTCATTTTCGTGACATCCAGCTGTATCTCGGGAGGCCTCTGTTCTGACCTCATTTTTCTGTAGATCTCTCTCTATCTCTCTCTCTCTCTCTCTCTCTCTCTCTCTCTCTCGCTCTCTCTCTCTCTCTCGCTCTCTCTCTTTTGCTCTCCGCCCTGATTTCTGTCTGCATTTCAGATTAGCGCATCCGATTCTTTGCTCGCGATCATTTCGCGCTCCCCCAAGATTTCGGAAAAATATTTGCCTATCAATATAGAATCACGTGCCATTAATTAGTCCATAGTATAGTTGCGGAATTGCTTAAATGACCTAGAAAACACGTGAATCGACCTTTAGGACCTGCTATGTGCTGTGAGATACGCGGTACGCCTAATAACACCAGCGTCATTTGGGCTGCCGCGTAGTTGTGGAGACTTTTGCTTAGGTTTTCGCTTATGTTTTTAGGCGTCGCTTATGTTTTTTTAGGCTTGGGTTTAGGCTTATGCTTAGGCTCAGGTCTTAAGCGTCCTAACCTAAGCCCGAAACTAAGCCTAACCACTTCCTTGTCACTTTAAAAGATCACAAAGTCCATCTAAAATAAGTTGAAAAGGAGAAGCCGCACAATACGAGGCATTGTTGACTGGTCTGGTCCCCGGCACCCACTTTTTTTTCGGCCCTATTCTCCATATTACCCATTGGCGCCTCTGACTAATCGCCAAATAGATTAGCCTATAAAATTGCTGCTGCCTTCTTGGATCTTTTATGCCTTAAAAGTTTTAAAATGTGTATAGGCCTCTTTGAGATCAAGGCATTAATGACATGTTTTAAGCTTCCAGCATGCACACGCTCAAAATTACTATTTACGCTTCTGTCTCGGTATTGGAAAGAAATGGCTATGTTCCAACTTCCGGACCATATTTCGCTCTCTCTGCCTGTCGTCTCTCTCTCCCTCCCTCCCTCCCTCCCTCCCTCCCTCTCTCTCTCTCTCTCTCTCTCTCTCTCTCTGTCTCTCGCTCTTTGCTGTCTCCCGATCAGACCACCACATCCACTGCGAGCAAACCCAAGCCGTGAAAATTCCTCAACGGCCCCCCCAGGCTTACCACATCCAAATGTGGCTCTCAATAATTTTTTTAACTATCTCTCTTTCTCTCCCTCTCTCTCACTCTCTCTCTCGCCTCTAACTCCCCGTCACTCTGGTACTGTAGCCCTGATTCGACCGGGCCACGCCGTTACCCTCAAATTCCAGCTGTCCCCTTCCATTCCCCCGTGGCAGGTGCTGCTCGATTTGGCCGTGTTTTTGCCGACCGGGGGCGCTACGCACGGGGGCTAAGGATATTCCGGGCCCAGAAGTGGGTTCTGTAAAGGGTGCCGGAAAGGTCACGGCCAAATTTATCATGAGTTTTTGATTGTTTGGCTCTCTCACTCACTCTCTCTCTCTCTCTCTCGCTCTCTCTATCTCACATGCATTTTTGGCAAATTCTGGTTGGATCCTAGCGTTCATCAAGAGTCTTTGCTAGCCTTCCTGGATCCAAAAAGAGTAGTTATGTTTTTTCAGTTTGTATCGATGAATTTTGCTAAGACCTGGCTGGGACGAGGTGTTCCTCAAGTGTCTCGGCCAAGCCAGCCAAGCCCTGGGAGGCCTGGTTTTTACGCTCTGATCGAATCCTCTTTTCGCTATCCTGACCGGATTTTAGCATCTCCAGAAACATTGAGGCTTTCTTCAATGGTTCTCTGCTAGCGTACCTGCCCCGAAAAGTCTATTTATGCTTTTCCGACCTTCTTGATTGATTGATTTAGCATATTCTAGACGGTTCGAGGCGTTTTTAAATGGTCCCTGCCAGCCTGCCTTGTCTGTAAACCCCCTATTTTTCATACTCACTTGATTTAGTTTGCGTAAATTCGCGAACTCTAAGTCTTAAAAGGGCATTAAAGGTAACTTAAAACTGAAAATTGGTTTATTTTTTTATTAATCTGTTTTATTTTTAATGAAAATGATTTCAACAATTCTTAAATTTTTTGGATAGTGGATTTTAGGCTATTTTTTCAGGGCAATACAAAGGATGCTGGCCGCCATCTCTGGCGTGCTGGGCGTCGTCAATTTGGTGGTCGTATGCGGCAATATTTTTGTTCTGTATGTCTTGGCCTCACAGGTAAGCGAGAGAGACCGAGAGCGAGAGAGGGCGCGAGAGAGAGAAAAAGAAAGAAAGAGAGAGAGAGAGAGAGAAAAAGACACAGAGTGAGAGAGAGAGAGAGCTACAAAATCTCCATTGTCATTGCAAAGCCGATTCCAGAAATCCCTGCACAGCCCCACAAATTTCCTCGTGCTCAGCCTGACGATATCGGATTTGCTGCTAGGGATTGTCATCCTCCCGTTTGCCATCATGCAGGTGAGAGACTAGGAGAGAGAGAAAGAGAGAGAGCGAGAGAGAGAGAGAGAGCAAGGGCAGCTAGAGAAGACACTTCGGGAATTTCCATATGATTCCATTTTTTCCAGGAGCACCGCCAGGAGTGGATTTTCGGCGAAACGTGGTGCACGCTCTGGCTGGCGCTAGATGTTTGGCTCTCCACCGCCTCTATCTACAATCTACTCGCCATCAGCTTTGATCGGTAAGTTTTGAGCTTTATCTCTCACTCTCTCTCCCTCACTCTCTCTCCCTCTCTCACTCTCGCCCCCCCCACCCCACGCATCAAAACATAGCTGCCATTTCTAAGCAGACGGGGTCCAATTTTTTTCCGAAATTTTCCCGTCATGGCTAGTTCGCATCATTTTTGCACCAGGAGCCAGATGCGTTTTGCACCTGGCCGGATTTATGGTGAGAGAGAGAGAGCAGAGAGAGAGAGATAGAGAGAGAGAGAGAGCAAGAAGATTCTTATGTTTTTTTTGTCCTTTAACGTTCCTTTTCTAGGTACATGGCCGTCCGGCAGCCCATCAAATACCCGATCATCTCATCGACAAGGTATCGATTTGTCTCTTTCTCTCGCACTCGCTCTCTCTCTCTATTTCTCTGGCTGCCTTTCGCGCTTTCCTTCTCTACCTCTCACTTCCAGAGTCATCCGCCTGATGATCTTCGGAGTCTGGGTCGTCTCTTTCGGGCTCGCCTTCCTCCTCTGGGTCCTTCAAACGCGAGCAGCGTCTAGTAAGTCGTGCTCAACCTTGAAATCTATTAATCTCCAGCCTTCAAGCTCCTTGACACTAAAACTAGCGTCCTTTTTTAATTGTCCCCTTCAGAATCCGTCCTCTGCGTCCCATTGACCCTCCCTGACGAATACATCCTGTTCTCCGCCTCATTCTCCTTCGTCGTCCCAGCATTTGTGATGGTAGGTTCTCTAGAAGATGACCAAAATACCGTAACCCTATAGGTCGCCCTGAACGTGTCGATATTTGCGACGGTGCTGAAGACGGGGCGCTCGAGGTGTGTGTCGGTGAAGAGCGGGGCCGAGATGAGGATACATAGGGGGAATAATAGTGCTCGATATCAGGTGAGAGAGAGAGCGAGTGAGAGAGAGCGAGAGAGATCGAGAGAGAGAGAGAGAGAGAGTGAGTGAAATAGACCTATTTTCAGGGCCTCCAACAGCAGCTCGTGCGCAGCAAGTCCGGCGACCACGACGAGCAGCGAAAAGTCACCAAGTGCTCGGTTGTCATTTCCAGGGTATGTTTTTTAGTAATAAAACCTGAGTAATTAAGCTTTTATTTTCATACAATAAATTTAGGCTTCAAACACGACCGCCAACACGACGCCCAGCGGGTCGGTGATGAACTTGACGCTGGCGTTGGACAGCGGCCAGCTGAGTACGACGGATATACCGAAATGTACGTGGGGGAGAGAGCGAGAGACAGAGAGTGACAGAGGAGAGAGAGAGTGAGAGAGATTTAGTAAAGCAAAAATTTCCAGGCCCCTCACCACGCGGTGAGCCCGACAGTCCCCCTCCTCCTCCCTCTCCCCTTCCCCCTGCCATTCGCACCTTTCTCTCCCACATGATGGTCGTCTCCATCGTACCGAACAAGACCAAGAGGACAGATATCTTCCCCCATCTCGCCTCGTAAGCCTCGGTTCTTACGATCGTAATCTCATGATAGCTTCAGAGGCGGGCGTGGCCGAGGTGCCAGGTATTCGATGCGGACCGAGCTGCGGGTGGCCAGGACGACGGCTGTGGTTGTGGGAGCTTTTGTCATCTGCTGGTCGCCGTTCACGACTATTTATGTGTTGCAGGTAAGTCGTTTTTACTCTGTCTCTCTCTCACTCTCTCTCTCTCTGGGTCTCTCTCTCTCTAGCTCGGACTCTCTTTTCTGGGGCTAATCTGTCTTTGGCTCTCTCTTGCCATCTCTTGCGTTCTTTCTCTCGCGCTCTCTCTCTGTTTCTCTTTCTCTCTCTCCCTCTCTCTCACTCTCACTGTCTCTATCTCTCTCTCACCTCTCTAACCCCTCCCTTTTCAGGCCTACGAAATGTGTTCCCTCTTCTCCGGTTGTATCCCATCATGGGTCTTCCTCCTCGCCTTCTGGCTCGGCTACTCCAACTCTGCCGTCAACCCCCTCCTCTACGCCGCCTTCTCCCGCGATTTCCGGGCAGCGTTCCGGAAAGTGCTCCTCCGGAAGCAGAGCAGCCTCAAGAGTTTCTAAGTGTAGTACTGCAGTACTGTAAATTCCCGTATTTCCATTGATTCTCACTTCGCTGATTCCGGTCTCATCCTCGTTGCGGGTACGAAATCGTTGCATAAAGCTTTATAGTATTACATGAGTATGACAAGAAATTTTGTGGAAGCTCGTGAGTTACAGACTACAAAATGGATACCAGCAAAAATCACTGAGCAATCGAGGGGTATTATGAAAGTCGTTTGTCTCTCTATCTCGCTCGCCCTCTCTCTCTCGCCCTCTCTCTTTAATTCGACAAAAACCCCTTAAATGGTACCCTCCTCACACAATCATTATCATCACCCTGGGCCACAAATAAAACATAATAATTGAAAAACACGATGAAGAACGCTGGCGAAAGCACGCGGCAAATCTGAAAAAAATAAGTTTACGAGAGAGCAAAGTGAGAGAGAGAGAAAGGGAGAGAGAGAGAGAAAGAGAGAGAGACAAAGAGAGACAAAGAGAGAGCCAGAACACCTACCTGGTCCAGTAGATGCGCATGACGTAACGATTTCCGCTTTTCCGCCAAAAACGTCTCCCGCTCCAGCTCGGTGATCGCCTTTGACGCGTTTTTCTCCTTTAAAAAGCATTATTCTTTGGTGGTTAAATATTGTATAAAAAGTGTGCAGAAAATTGCATTTATTTAATGTTTTTACTATGGACCTACCATGGCTCGACTTCGCTTGATGAAAGCGAGGATGATCAACGACTCGACGAGGGAGAGGACGGAGAATGCCTGGAAATCGACAGTTTAGCTGAGAGAGAGAGAGAGAGAGAGAGAGGGCGAGAGAGACAGAGAGCGAGAGAGAGAGAGTGCAACAAGCTAGCTAAATCACCATTTTCCTAGTTTGAATGTCACAAAACCACAAATATTGAAAAATTCACCACTTTCCCCACCCCACTGACCCCAAGGAGGTCGCTCATCTCGATGTCCAACTCCAGGAGGGTATGCCAAATGTTTCGCCGTCTACAGTATCCCAACAGGAAATCGGCTTCAAGACGATCCGCGCGACGAAGCACTCCCTAACAAGGTCGCCCACCCGGTCGACCACCCAGGCATCGACCCCCGTCGTGCAATGGGTAAATACTTCGTTTCCTTGCTATTTTAACCCGACTTTTAGCGCGCCTCAAAGTCCGACATCGCCCACTCGTCGAGCTATGTGAGAGAACTTTCGGTTCTGGGCTATTAGCGGGTCAAACGCAGCACGTCCGCAACGCGTTTGCGGCGCCTCTGTCACGCGTTTCTTCAACGCTAAACAACTTCAATTTCGTGTCACCAACCTTTAAAACGTTAAAAATCCTCGATTTCAGAAGTCTTCAGAATCCCAGTCCGATCTCCCCGCCCAGCGTGACGAGACGCCGCCCTCTGGAGATGTCTCCGAGGTGCCGCAAAAACCACAAAAACACCCTCATTTAGTCGACCCGCCCCGACTCCCCCTCCAAGAGCGAACGTTCATCTACCGGAAGCCGGAACATGTGCTGCGTGGTCACCTCGCTGCTTCTCGTCCTCGCCTTCGTTTTCGGCGTTGGCGTCTACATGTGGATGGTCAACATCATGGACGAGTACGGTGGATTGGGTCCGGTTAGGGGACGCAGTCTATCGTAGCATCGGGCACGAGTTCGAGCAGTTCAAAGGGCTCGGTAGAGGCACGTGGCCTGCCGTAGCGTTTGGCATGTGTTCGAGCAGTTCAATAGGCTCGCTAGAGGCTTGTAAACTGCCGTAGCGTTGAGCACGTGTTCGAGCAGGTCAAAGATTCGACCTCAGCCCAAACACCTTCTCAGGCCCTTCGACAACAGCAAGGAGGCCAGGCTGATGCGCCAGATCCAACACGAGTTTGGCCCCCTGGAAACCGGGGGTCCCGATCCGAAGATGATCATCAACATGTGGGTGGTTAGGTTTTTATTGGATTCGAAAGTTGGGCGACTGAACTGCTTGCAAAGTTGGGCCTTTTTTTAGAAGCTCTACTTGGCAGATTCCCAGCGACGCTTATCGACCGTTGCACTATGATTTGGATTTGCATGTAGGTGTCTGAAAACGGTGTTCTCTCTCTTTCTCCCTCTCTGTCTCTCTCTCTTTCTCTCTCTCTCTCTCTCGTTAACTTTTTTTCCAGGTCTACCTCCCAGAACACGGCACCCAAATTCCCACGGACCAGGCGTACGTCTTCTACGGCCTTGTCAACATCACGGTAGCTCCAAGCTTCTAATGCCATTTTTCCACACTTCCAGCTGGTCATCGACGCCCCGCACGACTCGATCGAGCTGTACAGCAAAGGCCTCGACATTGTCTTTGCCACCTTGTTCTCGAGTTCTCCAGCCGATACGGTAACTCTTCTGGAGCCTATTTTTGCCTCGACAACCCCTTTAAGGGGGCGAGAAACGCCATGAAAATCGTTTTTCTAGATTTTTTATGAATCCTGAAGCCAAAAACCTCAGTAGTCCCTTTAAACCCCAGAAAACGCGCTGAATTCTAGCGCCGATTGAGTGTCGCCCACAACGACACGCTGGAGCGTATCGCCCTCGCGCATCGCGACCAAATTCCGGCCGGGACCCACCATGTCCAGGTGGGTGTAAAGAGGCGCGCAACGGAGCGGAATGCCAATTTAGATTGCGTACAAAGGAACGATAAACGAGGGGCTGCACGGCTTCTACCGTACCTCACCGCACGGGGGCGCCGTGTCGGCGCTGATGAACCTGGAGGCGACGCACGCTAGGAGGGTGGTGCCGTGCTTTGATGAGCCACGCTTTCTGGTGAGAGAGAGAAAGCTAGAGAGAAATAGAGAGAGAGAGGGCGAGAGAGAGAGGGACATAACGACTGGAAAATTCAGGCCAATTGGACCCTCTCCGTGCGCCACCCAAAAAACACGACCGCCACCTCGAACATGCCGATGACTCCCGGCTTCCCCCAGCCGTAGATCATCTCCAAGTCTTCGCCAATCTCCCAAACTATAGAGAAATTGACGGCGAATGGACAAGGACCCGCTTCGAGCCCACCCCGCCACTGCCGCCGCATCGCCTTGCCCTGGCCATCCACAACCTGGGCCACGAGACGGGGATGCTGGAAGCGAGGGTCAGGGTAAGGCATTTGAGATTTCGTTGTGACCTACACCTTCCCAGGTCTCCGCCTACGCGCGAGAGGAGCGCTCGGAGTTGACCAAGGAGCTGCTCAACGTCACCGTCGAGCTGCTGGCCCACTTCGAGGCGATGCTGGGCCTCGAGTACCCGCTTCAGAAGCTCCGTAGATAAACATTTCCGGCCAGATTTACTGCGTTTAGACATCATCATGGTGCCCGGGGTATCGCGTGGGATGGTGGCCAGTCTCGGGTTGATCATCGTCGACGAGAAGGTGGGGGATTCGGACAGTACACGCGTAGCGGTTGCGTTGCGTGTAGCTACGTGTGGCTCCGCTGTACAGCTTTATTCTATGCTCTTTAGGCCCTGATCGGCTCCTCGGGCTTTGAAGCCGTCCCTAGGCTGCAACTTATCGCCGGTGCTGTGGCCGAAGGGTTGGCCAAACAGGTGGGCAGAAGAGCAAAAGAGAGAGAGAGAGAGAGAGAGAGAGAGAGAACCTTGACTCATTTTAGTGGCTCGGCAACATGGTGACGATGCATTGGTGGGACGATCTTTGGCTCAGCGAGGGCTTCTCGTCGTTTTGTCGGCTCTTCGCCTATCGCTACTACGACATCGCCAAGCCGTATCAACAACCGGTAGAAGTTCAAGATCTTCTAGAGGGCCACATGAACGCGGCGCGGTCGCGGTGCGCGCCATCTAACTAGCGCGAGACACGCAAAATCACCTAAAACTCAACCCCCGCAGGATGACCTCTTCATGGCTGAACACCACGCTCCCCTCGACGCCGAGCCGGGATACCCACTTCCCGCCCTCCGGCAGCCACAAAATGATACCGACCCGTTCAATGTGAGCCATTTTGGAGCTTGAGGCACTGCAACGCGTTGAAGCTCCCATTAATGCGTAGAAAGCCCAAATTCTAGAAATGGCCCCGGACTCCGCTTGAAATCGCCAGCGTCTTCGAGCCGCGCAGCCTTCTGAAATCTGCACACGGCATCTACACGATGTATCGCTCGATCGGGTCGGAGCGCTTCTGGCGGATGTTCAAGGTGAGTGAGAGAGGGAGGGAGAGCGAGAGTGAGCGAGTTGCCTCTCTCTCTCTCTCTCTCTTTCTCTCTCTCTCTCTCTCTCTCCCTCAACTGCTTTCTTCAAAGGCATCCGTAACCCATTCACGTTCATCTTTCAGGGTTTTCTCACCAACAACTCCTACTCCACCGCCACCTCCGCAGACCTCTGGGAGCACGACCTCAACAACGACGACCAATGGCGGCGAGCCGTCCAAGCGCACCAGGATTTTTTGCGCCTGGTAAGCGAGACTGATTCTCGCTTCAATGGTCCTTTAAAACTCACAAAATTTCCTTTCAAGCGCGGCTACCCCCGGATCGACGTCATCCGTCAGGCCGTCAACCCCAACAAGTACACGGTGACGGCCACCCGGTTCCGCTATTCGAAAACGACGCCCATGGAGGAGGAAAGCCGCCCGGACGAGTAGATAAACTTCAAGCGTTTGTCGAACCTAACGGTACTCTAGCTTTTGGCACCTGCCGATCGTGTGGGCCGAGCGGCCGGAGATGCGCGAGCCGGACTACTTGAGGGATGGTGGGTGGGCCTGGGTTTGGCTTGGGCTTGGGCTTTGCGTAGCTTGGGTTTAGCCTAGAGTGACTTCAGGTGAGCTACTCGTCGTCAACTCGCCCCGCGTCCCCTGCATCAACCCGGACCGCGTCGCGTACGCTCGCGTCAACTATTGGGCCCATTGGGCCGACTGGCGCGCCAATATTTTGGACATTGTGGGTCGATCTCCGTCCATTTTCTCTCTCTCCCTCGCTCTCTCTCGCTCTCTCTCGCTCTCTCTCTCTCTCTCTCTCTCTCTCTCTCTCTCTCTCTCCTCTCTAAATGATGAGCTTTGCAGTGCCCCAACCCGTACACCCGTGCCACCCTCTACTCGGACGTGTTCGCGATGGCGGAAGCCGGTGTGGAGCCCTACTCGCGTGCCCTCCAGTTCCTTGAACTGCTCCCCGTCGAGCCAGACAACGCGGCTCGTCGCGCCCTCGGCGCCGAACTCGACAAGGTCAATCGTCGTCTCCTGGCGAATGTCCAAAATGAGACCGTCGTCAAGCTCGTCGCGGTGTGTGTATTTTGTAGAGCCAGACTTTTTTCTAGGCCGTCGGGAAATTCTACCAGCGTTGCGAGGATTACGGGCAGATGGAGTGAGTTTTCGGCGTATCAGAGAGAGAGAGAGAGAGTGAGAGTGAGAGAAGACGAAATTCAACTTCAGAACCCCCACATGGTGTCTGGAGATGAACAACAAATCCGACTGGGCCACCGTTTTCCGCACTGACGTCCAAGACTCATGCGAGGAGGGTGTACCGACAAGTAACTGCAGCCGGTACCTCATTAGCTTACGCCAGATAAAAGGCCTCTTACAGTATTCCGGAGGCTACCCGCCTGTTCGTCTACTGCAAGGCTGCCGAAGCCGACGAGGACGTCGCTGAATACATTTGGCAAAAGCTCGGTCTCGAGAGTGTTACTCCCTGTAGGTCTCGATCTCTCAGTCTCGTGCGCGCTCTCTCTCTCTCTCTCGCTCTCTTTCTTTCTCTCTCACTCGCTGCGACGATCACTAGCAATTTCAGCCAGCCTCGACGAGCTCGACACCCTTTCCGAGGCGCTCCTATGCAGCAAGGAGTGGAAATACCCGCAAAGGTAGGGTTTCTGATTGTCCTAGCTGTCGCTGTCCCTTTAGGGAATAGAGCTTTTAGCGAGTTATAATTTTAGGGTGCTTGACGTCTTCTCCGATCGGCGCCTTGCGGAAAAGCTGTCCTTCTTGGCGGGTCATCAAGCCGATTCTTCCCAGCTCGTCGACTATTACGTGGCCAACTTTGGGCGCTTCTTGGAGAGGTAGAAAGACCTCTCTCTCTCTCTCTCTCTCTCTCTCGCTCTGTCCCTCCCTCTCTAGCCTTCTCTGTCTCGCTCTCTCTCTCTCTCTCTCTCTCTCTCTCTCTCTCTCTCTCTCTACCATCCCTCGACCTAGGCTACGTGACGACCCCTACGAGACGCTCCGCCTCATCCGCGCCATCCAACCGGCCATCAGGACCGATGCACATGTGGAAAAGGTGAGTGAACGCGTCGCAGATGCGTTGAGGCCTACCGCTTCACCCCCACAAATCCAGATCAAAACCCTCCTCACCACCCCCGACCTTCCCGATGCCCTGAAGGCCGCCTGGCTCTGGGACGAGGCCTTCGAGCGTCACCGCCTTGAGCACGAGTGGCACGCCAAGTATTCGGTACGCTAGACCACTTTACAACGCCACGCGCCAATTGACAGGCCAACATCCTGGACTTCTACTCGCAGATGAACGTCGCCAAATGAACCGAGTGAAATGTGGCAAAAACCTTGTTGCCGCTGTTTTTCTAATCGTTTCTGACCACCCCGGGCCCCTCGCCGTGTCATATATGAGTGTGCTTTCGGTATCGGCATAAAAGATTTGTGCACTCGACGCGTGTAGTACGCTTATTTCCCCCCTTTACACCCACCTTCATCACCCCAAACCACACGTTCATCGACGTCAAGTAGGAGGTCCGGATGGCCGAGTCGTCCTTTTCCATTTGCACGAGCGCGAGCAGAACCTAGCAAAACGGTTTATAACTTTTTCGTAGCCCACCATGATCGGCGTGACAATCCGTACATCTTCGTAGTTGTACGGCACGTACGGTGCCACCCACGCAAACATCATGGCCAACGTCGAGGGCACGTATTTCTCAACGATAAACCGGGCACCGTCACGCTCCAGCAGGAAGAGCAGACGAAGGCAAGAGGAGCGGACTGGAATTTTTGCAATTCGGTTGCTAGTTTTTTTAGTAGAAACACTGAAAGTGCGTAATCTGGAAGTTATCGGAGTGCCAAGCTACTTTATAGATATTTTTGAACAGGAATTTTTCTTGATTTTAATGATTTTGTGACCCACTGAGCTTGCTCTCGACCTCGCACGTCTCGGCGGTGATCGTGTTGATGTGCAGCTCGGGCAGGGCGATGGCCGTCTTGAACGTGAACGGCGTGGAATGCCACGAGAAGTTGACGAATGAGTGCGGGAAGGCGACTGAAGACAAAAATCGAAAATGTTGCCTTTCAGGTCATTTTTTATACATTTTTGGGCAAAAAGTTGTAGTTTTCGAAAGTTTGTATACTTTTATGTTCGTTTTATATCTAAAAACATTGTAAAATGCTATAAAAACGATTTGTATTGGGTCAATAAGGACATACGGGATGCGAAAAAAATTATCCCCCCGCTAACAGTCCAATACCAAGGCCGAACTTACTCGACGACAGCAACAAGTCACAGCGCTGCCGGTCGTGCGGATATTTGCAAAATACCATCTGGCACGAGGGTAATAGTGTGGCTCTAAATCGAAATAACTTTATTCTACTCTCTGTTTTTTTTTCTTACCGCATAGTGTAGGTGACAAGGCCTTCTGGGGTGATTCTCATTCGAAAATTCGGGAATGATACCTAAAGTTTAAAAACCTGAATGGATAAAGGATGTTTTAAATAGGCAAAAATGATGATAAATTAACGTTTATATGATACAAAATAAACCAAATTACGCACCATATGAAAATACGAGTACTTTGAATTGACAAAGTACGGGTCTGGCCTCCAAATGCGGTCAATCACCGACTTCTCCCGCAGCAGCACCGGCTTCGAATAGTTGCTTCGAAGCCTGCAACTCAGTACCGATACTAAACACGTAATCCCCTACCTCAAATCGTACCACCGCATCTCCAGCTCCAAGTCGATCGTGTACTCCATTTGCTCGCTGTCAAAGTTGGCCAGGTGGATGATGTTCAGCTGGACGCGCACGTTCACCGGAATGTCTAGATTTTTTTGCGGTCTTGATAAATGTTACTAACTTACCCGCAAAAATCAAGGGTACCGTAAAATTGTCGTAGTTTATCGCGGAGAGCACGGGCAATATGAAGCTGCTTCCAAAGTCTCTGAAAATCGGATTTTTGGAGCTAATTTATGGTTAAAATAGTTTGTATAATATAAAGATATATATCCAAAACTAGTGTAATATAACGCATCTGAAATACCTATGAGAATCCGCATAATTGTTCTCCTCAAGCTGCAATGGGTCAGCAAGCAACTCGCGCAAAGATTCCGTCTCGTTTGTATCGACTCTAAAATGTGATAAGCTTTTCATTAATACGTTTAATAACGGCGATTTGATATACCTCAAAATTCTATAACCAACCTATAGCTCATCAACTCTGATTCCAAAAAAGCCGAGTCCAATTTAGCTCGCTCAAACGCGCGAGGACGGTACCGCCGGCTTTTCGGCATTCGCATCTGCCCAAAGCTTTCTGAAATCATATTAAAACTCATGCTCTTTACAGACCTACCTCTTATCTCAAACTCGGTGCCGTTGAGATCCAGCTCATACTCGAAACTCGTCAAATTCGACGCCGAGGGCTCCTCATAATCGTCTGTGCGATTAGAGGCTGAGCTGAGAATCCCGACGGCCGGATCGGATTTGGCTTCATCCAGCTTCCCCAGGAAATCCGCAGCCTCTTTATCCAGCTTCGACACCGCCTTGTCACCCTCGACAAATTCGTCCGAGTCGATAGTGTACTCGCCCTCTTCCGCCGATTCGGCTGCCAGGCTCTCGTGAGAGCTGATCAGACTTTCCTCACCACTCTCCACCGGCTTTTGCATCGACGTTTCGATCGCCGGGTTTTTTGAGTCGGTTTTTAAAAGTCTGCCCTCCTTTTTCTCATCAATCCCCTCCTCAATTTCCATCTTATCGATCGTATCTCCCTTCATTTTCTCGAAAAACACCCTGATACGCTCCTCATCTACCATCAACTTAGAATCCGATACAGCGTATTCATCCGAAGCTTTCGGCTTTCCATTCTCGGATGGCGAACCCATTTTGGCCTTCTTTGTACCCTTCCCTTTTCTTAGTTTCTTCTTTTTCTTCGATTTCCCCGGCCCGGGCACACGCTGCAAGTGCGCGCTAATTTTTTCGATTTTCACCTTTTGCTTGGCGCGCACGGTGGTTGTTATTTCCTCTTCGTATTCGACGCTTTCCTCCAGTTCCGCTTCCCCCTCTTCTTTTTCGGTTGTTTGGCCCGCCGGCTCTAGCAAATCCAACCCAGCGGGGGCCGCCTGGATTGTAGCTTCAGAATTTGTCGCCGTGGTTGTTTGAACTTCTAGACCCCGTGCCGTAGCCCCATTTTCCGTGTCCGATTCATCGTAATTTTCATAGCTAACCCAGGAGTGGGCCTTTGTAGTTTCTTCTAGCTCAAATTTGGTAATCCCGAGAGTTGTAGCTTCAGGTGGCGCTTCAATTGGCTTCTGCCCGGGTAATATGAATGCTTTTTCTTCAGAATAGACTTGCGCGTGATCTGGGATAACCTCCGGAACTTCAACCCCGTAAAACGCCGACCAATCAAAACGCGGTTTCTTCTTTTCCTTGGATTTCGCCCTTTCTGAAAAGGGATTATCACGCTCGAAAGTTCAAGCTCATCAACAATATACCATAAAACCAAACCCCCACCACTTGCCGCTACAACTAGGCTAAACGCTGCTAGCAGAAATAGGAATTGGAGACGCATAACAGTTCAGCCCAGCATCCTCAATGATTCCAGCAAAAATGTCAGCCGCAAAAACGGCGCCCAGAAAGTGGTCGGTGTGGGCGAAAGCGACGAGAATGGGTGCGACCTCGAGTCACACCGAAACGAGCCCATCTCCTCCCATCGCCTGCCAAACACTTATCAAATTACGAAATTGTTCACCACCTGTGCAGGCGGCTAGCTTCCAAAATTTGCGCGCTAAGTCTTCCGTTACCTTTTATTTTCTCATTTTTTTCATTATTATGTAAAGCCCAGTTTCAAAAACAAATTAAATAAAAATATTTTTATTTCTTTTAATCGATTACGCTATGTTGCAGATCGAAAAATTCCGAAGCAGTACACTCGTCGATATAGTACCGGCGTGGTAGGACCTCAGTCTAGACGCCTGACTCTGAATTTCTCTTTTTTTTCCAGTCAAGGTCGTTCTAATGAAATTAGGTGCACGATAAGATGAAAATGCCAAAAACATGACGCTGGGCGCTGCTTTTTGGGGCCCTATGCGTCGTTTTGAATGCTTCTAAATATCTCATTCTCCGTTACGAACTATTCTCTACTCTCCATATAGCGAATTCAGGCACCTCGCCAGTTTTTCACCTATCGACTAGTTCGGGAATCGTCTGAGAAGTGGCCGTTTGTTTGCACGACTCCTATCCCTGCTTTGTTTCTTTACCCCGGTCTCTAACTATGACTGCAGAAATTTTTCGGGTGCGAAATGTTTTGCGCAAGGGTCTATTCGCCGTCTTATTTTCGATCCGCGGGGTAAGGCATAGGTTAAATAAAGTTTTTCGTTTTTAGCTATTGATCGCTGCCTCCCAGTCAGCTTTTTTACTTGCAAAAATAACTGCCCAATCATGACAACGTTAGAACCTTCCATGAAACTTCAAACTCGATCTTGTCGCGATCTGTCGAAATTTTATGATCCCTTATTCTTAGTCGCAATGTTAGTGGGGGTCCTCTGTCCTCTCCCCTCACGGACCCTCTGCCTCTCTAGCGTGGGTCGATCGCCGGGCGCCACTCGGCTCTCAACCCTGGCCTCCTCGTACCAGCTGATTTTTTCGTTGGACTCCCTCCGTCTTTACCCGGCTGCCCGCAAGTTCCTCGTCTTCTCCGGCGACAACCTGGCCGCGGGTTAGGTGCTTTACCACTGGGCATCAACCTAAATATCGTCATCATCGTGGGGTTCGGGGGTTCGGGAAAAATTATCGATTTCCCGGACATGTGTAGCGCGCCTTATTTACGGTGTACAACGCAACTTTCACCCCGACGGCAAAAACAAGCAATGTCTAATGACTTCCTTGGCGAGAAAGTCCGAAATTTTGGGTCGCGATGATCTCTGTGGATATAATGACGCCTTTCGTAATAGATTTTTCCCGAATGTTCGTAGACGATTTGCTCCCTCATCAGTCGCAAAGTTGCTCCACGATTTTGCCTCGTGCCTTCCAGCTATTTATTTTCCATTTTCTCTCGTTTTTAGCCTAAAGACTTGCCATAATTGACCTTTTTCAGTTTTTAAGCCGATTCTTTCCGTACCATCATGGACGGAATCGACCCGGAAACTCTGCTAGAATGGCTTCAGACGGGTAATGGAGATGATCGAGATCTACAGGTACTTTCTAACCGTTTAATTAAACCTTTCTTTTAGTTGATGGCCCTCGAACAGCTCTGCATGCTGCTGCTGATGTCAGACAACATAGATCGGTGCTTCGAAAGCTGTCCGCCTCGCACCTTTCTACCGGCATTGTGCAAGATTTTTCTCGACGAGACTGCGCCCGATACAGTCTTGGAGGTATAAATTCTTGGAATTAATTTAGTTTTGCTTTTAGGTCACAGCTCGCGCCATCACTTATTACCTCGATGTGTCGAATGAGTGTACACGGCGTATCACACAGGTATGATCGGGTTGAAAAATTAATCCTTTTTCTTAGGTCGAAGGCGCTGTCAAAGCCATCTGCAATCGACTGGCCGCCGCAGAGATGAGTGATCGCAGCAGCAAGGATCTGGCCGAACAGTGCGTGAAACTACTCGAACACGTGTGCCAACGCGAAACCTTGGCTGTCTACGACGCCGGCGGAATTCATGCGATGCTCAACCTCGTGCGTCAACATGGCGCTCAGATTCACAAGGACACGATGCACTCTGCAATGTCAGTCGTCACCCGCCTCTGCGGCAAGATGGAGCCCAACGAAACTGCACTGCCCCAGTGCGCAGAGAGTCTCGGAGCGCTACTTGATCATGAAGACGCTAAGGTTTCGGAGAGCGCGCTCCGTTGCTTCGCCGCCCTGGCCGATCGATTCATCAGGAAAAGCATGGACCCGATCGATTTGGCCAAACACAGCAAGTTGGTCGACTATCTGCTCAAATCACTCTGCGCGTCCGAAAGTGCAACGACCGTCTTCACCAGCATAGTCCTGTCGCTGATCAGCAACCTGTGCAGAGGGAGTCCGGAGATCACACACCAAGTATTCAACAATAACCTCCTGACGGACGCCTTATTCGCCGTACTTACTGGAAAGGACGAGCGCACGGTTACAGACGGCCTTCGCGTCGCCGATCTTCTGGTGGTCCTGCTATGTGAGGGCCGGAATTCCTTGCCGAAAAACTGTCCGGTCGCGGAATCCGGTGCTGTCGGAGGAACGGGTGCCGGTGACCGTGCTCGCCACCTCATTGACGCAATCCGGCAGAAGGACACGCACGCCCTCGTCGAGGCCATTGAAAGCGGAACTGTCGACGCCAACTATACGGATGATGTTGGCCAGTCGTTATTGAACTGGGCTGCCGCTTTTGGCTCGATCGAGATGGTCAATTTCCTATGCGACCGCGGCGCCGACGTGAACAAGGGAAGCAAGAGCAGCTCGCTCCATTACGCTGCTTGCTTCGGGAGGCCTGACGTCGTGAAGGTGCTGCTGCAGCGTGGCGCAAACCCGGATCTCCGGGATGAGGACGGCAAAACCGCACTTGACAAAGCTCGTGAGCGCAACGATGAAGACCATGGCCAGGTTGCAACTATCCTCGAGAGCCCGTCGGTTTATATGCACGCGCCTATTCCAAAAGCCGAAGAAGCTGCCACAGATGCAAGCACCTCACGCCAAGCCGTGGAGACGCCCGACACCCTGCTCGCGGCCCGGTTGCTGAAAAAGCTTGTGCCGATTTTCTGTGAAATCTTCCAGAAATCGCTGAACAACGGAATCCGAAGATCTTCCCTTTCGCTTCTGCGCAAATGCATCCAGCATATGGCCAGCGACCACCTGCACTGCATTTTCTCCAAGGCCGCGGACGAGGCAGAAGCTGACCAAGCCCGAGCGTTTTCTGAAGCCGTCGTTGGCGTGCTTGTCAGTGTCTTGGAGCAGGATGATGATGTCGAATCGCAAGAGCAGGTGCTCATGATAATGTCTTCGCTGCTGCAGAAGGAAAGCTCGTTCTGGGTCGAAGAACTGGTGCGACTCGGCGTCTTCGAGAAAGTGGAATCGATGGCAAAGGAGCCGTCAGTGCCATCGGCGTCTGCTTGCGCGAACATTGTCTCTGGTGAACGGGAATCGAACGAAGAGATCAATGTGCTCAACAACACGATGAACAGGTACATTTTACATAAAGTTTCTCTACCATTGCTTAGATCGGCGTCTTCTACTCCCTCTGTGCCTGCCGAGTCTGATGGCGATCGAGCCACGCCCAGCGCCGTCGACCGTGAGCGCGCGCAAATGCTGAATGTGCCTGTTGGGGTAATTTTGCATTTTTTTTTCCCTAGAAACTCTTTTTAGGATGACCTCACATCGACCCAAACCCCACCGCCTACTGTGGAAGTGGCCACCCTCGCCACGGAGCCGATCGTTCGGGATCGTGAGACTTCGAAGGAAGTGGAGGTATTTTTAGCTATTTTGGTCACAAAAAGCTTTTAGATTGGCGTCCTCTACCGCTGGAAGGAATGGCGGTTGGTCCGCGACAACGACAGCCTTTACATCTGGGCCGACATGTTGGCGATCGAGTTCCCGTAGGATCGCCTTCTAGATTCATTTATTCTGTTCAGGTTGAATTCTAACGGTTGGATCCGCTACTTTGCCGACGGTCACTTCTCGGTGATGTTCAGCAACGGAACGAGCCAAGTAGCGAACAACGAACTGGAGGCCAGGAAGAATTTTGTCACGAGGTATTTAAACCATTTTATGTTTGTAACGCTTTCTAGATGGCGACGTGCTACTGCCGAATGTGGAGACGGCGTGCCTACATCGCTCTTGCAAATCCCCAACTTCTTCCGGAAGGCCACAGTGAGCGGATGGGAGATTGGCTGTTTCCGAAATGCCGAATTGACGGTGCGATCGACAAACGCGGAAGTGGACCTTGGCGGTGTTGTGATCAAAGACGACCTCGGAGGGTGAGCATTTTCCCCACGTCATATAACAAATCTTTTAGTTTCACGTTCGAAGGTCTCGAAAAAGTGACCATCAGTCCAGAATGTGTGCTTTCACACGACTTCAGCACAGGTATGGCATTATTTTGTAGCAATAATCGCGTTTAGGCTGGTCTCTCCATGGAGTTGGCCCTCGTCGCCTCAAGTTCCGCGCCGAAATGCAGCGCAAACGTGTCCAAGAGCTGGCTTGGGAGGTCTGGGACAAACACCTGAAAGATGCGCAAGCGAAGCCCAGGGATGCCCTCGTCCACCTGAAGGAGGCTACATCTTGCATTCAGGTTTGCTTAATACTAACACTCATATTTTCTTTCTAGGAATTCGTCAAAAACACCAAGGCGAACAAGAAAGACATCAGCAAGCTCAACAGTGTCACGCAAGCGATGAACTGCATCAAGGACTGTGTACTGGACGACCGCCGGCTGTCCACCTTCGAGCTGTCAATTTCTGGCCTTGTCCCTACCCTCGTTGGACTGCTCAGCGTTGCCGAGGCGAAGCCTACTAGCTATCCGGCCTTCATCTTCCGTGAGACCTTCGGGAATGGCTCGTCGCTGGCGACCTTGGTCCGCAAAATGGTCCTCATCCTCGAATCGGCCGAGAAGTTCCCACAATACCTCTACGATCTCCCTGGTGGCTCTGCCTTTGGCCTTCAAATGCTCAGCAAGCGGTTCCGTCTCAAGCTCGAATTGGCCGGTGCTGACACAGAAGCACAAAAGCACCTGTTGAACCGGTATTTTGCGATGCTTTGCCTATATTGATTTTTTTTCAGCACGAATCGCTCTTTCAAAAGTGAGCCGCTGACGTCGGTTGGGCAGCTGAAGAATTTCTTGCTACGAATGGTGGCCAAGCAATGGTAAGGCTTCCGTTTAGCAATCAAAAGTTTTGTGTTTAGGTATGACCGCGAACGCGACAGCTACAATTTCGTCAAGCAGATCAAGGAGCAGAAGGAAATTACGTGCACGTACTCCAGCGACTTTGACGACCAAGGCATCATGTTCTGGCTCGGCACAAATGGAAAAGTGGCTGAATGGATCAACCCGGCCTCGATCGGCGTCGTCAAGGTTGGTTTTCAATATTTTGGTGTACATTATCCTAGGTGACCTGCTCCGATACCCCGAAGCAACCCTTTGGACGCCCCGAAGACGTGCTCAGCCGTGATGTGAACCCGATCAACTGCCACAGCAGCGACGACAAGAACAGCAACTTCACGATCGACACCGGGTGCTCAATCGTCCCGGCAAGCTACACACTTCGTCATGCTCGCGGCTACGGACGCAGCGCCCTCCGCAACTGGCTATTCCAAGTAACCTTTATCGTGGGTTTTTAACGGTGCTTTGTAGGGCTCTCGTGACAACCAGGTCTGGGAAGTGCTGGTCGCCCACTCCGATGACAACTCGCTAAATGACCCAGGGTCCACTGCCACCTGGCCAGTTGAGCCGAACAAAGGTTTCTATCAATTCCATATATCATGCCAAACTTTAGGGCCATACCGTTACTTCCGCATTGCTCAGAATGGCAAAAACGCCTCGGGACAAACCTGCTACCTCTCCCTATCCGGTTTCGAGCTGTACGGGAAGATCGTCGACGTTGTGGTTGAAAACTTCAAAACCGAAGAAAAGGTTCGTTCATCTTATTTCTTTTTACCTGGACTTAGGAAAAGATGACGCCGGCCAGCTCCAAGATCCCCAAGGCGATGTCCCTACGCGAGGCCATCATGACGAAGAGAACAAAGGGAGGTCAGGACGAGCCCGGGCCGTCAACTAGCTCAAGCGACACCACCGCACGCTCGTTGCCTCAAGGACCCGACAACAACCGCTACAAGGCTGGGATGACGCACGAACAAGTTCTGAAGTCGCTGAAGAAAGGGTTTGTGTCTTCTATTTTGCGTTTATGTTTTTTCAGGGAAAGCAAACGACAGCTACATCGGCTTTGGCGCCAGCAAGCCGCCGATCTGCGTGGCATGTTAGTAAAACGTGGGCCTGACTGGATGTGGGACGAGCAGGACAACGGTGGTGAAGGCCACGTGATCTCTCAAAATGAAAATGGTTCGTTTCATCCAATAAAACTGGTTCTGTTTCTATCACTGAAATCGTTTCAATAAACGTAATGTTTCCAGGATGGGTTGATGTGCTCTGGGATGCCACCGGCTATAAGAATAGCTACCGTTACGGCTACGATGGCCTTTTCGACATCACCCGGGTTGCCAAGACTGCCATTGACACGTCGCCATTCTTGGTCAGCGGTCTTAATTTACGTTCATTCTTGGTTTAGGCCATGATTCCGTCGAGACGCGCAGAGCTGCCCAGCGCTTCCACGCTACCGGCTGCTCCCTCCCCGTTCGGCGCCCTTTTCGGCTTCGCCTCCAGAGGCAAATCGGCTCGCGTCAGCAAACGACCCGTTCACCTGCACCAAGTCGCTCGTCCAACCGTCACGCCTCCAACTTCAGCCATTGGTATGCTTTCAATGAATTACAAAACCTTTTTTGTTTAGGCCAAAAGTCTATGTCGACGACGAACTTGAATGATGAACGTCAACGTGGCGCTGGAAGCTCCGCAGTTACTGTTGCTGCCACTGGACAAGCCGCTTCGGCAGAAAGCCTCCAGCATCAAACACCCAGCCTCGAGAATCTACTCGAAAAGTAAGTGCTTTTTATCAATTTCTTTAGTTATCTTTCGCGTACTCGCTAATACATTTCTTTTAGGTCGCGTATCTTGATTGATCGCACTATTGTCGAGCGCAACGAAACGGCCGAAGGACGCGAAACACCCGAAGATCAGCATGGCCCCAGTACTTCCCAGCCGACATTGAACACCAACCAGTCGGCGACCGGTTCATCCGATGCTGCTACGGCTTCAGCTGCTGTACCGGAGGTTCGTCTTTCGTTGAATTCTTATCTAGTTTTTAGGGTGTCGAGGCGTTGTCCTTATCCACCCCGGATTTGGCGTCGGCTCGTGAGCGAGCTCAATCGACGGAGGCTGCTTCGGATGTCACTCAGGAGGACCAAGATACGGAAGGTGACGTCGAGGAGGATGAAGAGAACGACGAGGAAGAACCTGAAGACGATGACATGGAAGACGAAGATGAGGAGGAGGACACGGAGCCCGACAACGATGATAGGTCAGACCGCTTTTCTTTTCCCAATGAAAACCGTGCTTTTAGAGGTGAGAAGAGGGATGAGGACGTCAGCTTTTCCCAATTGCTGGCAGAATTGGAGGGAGAGGGGAAAGTGGGCCAGGCGGCTCTCGCCGTGCCCGCAGGCTCGTCCACGGCCAATACTAATGCGACTATCAGCCAAGAGCGCGGGATTATTGAGAGACTTCGCGATGTGATCGGAATGGGTTAGTGTCGTGCATGCGACGCCAAGTGTCGTGCCGCGTTGTGAAGTTTTTCCGTTCTGTGGCACCATCTTGCGTTTGGTCGTATCGCACGATAGAACCCGTCGATCGAGTCTAGTGCCCGTTTATTTCCGTGTTTTAGAAGATTCCATCGAGCAGCTCATCAGCGGCCTGGGCCCGCCCAGCACACAGGCGATCCATGTCAAGCCGGCCGGAAGCCGAAAAGTTGGCACCTCGGTGTCAAAGTCGATCAAGGGATACGCCGATGTGATTAAGTCCATGATGCAGCAGGTTCAACATCGATTTTCGATTTTATAGTATTGTGTCTTAGATGATGGACCCGACTTCGGCCATGGATGTCGAGGATATGGAGGAAGATATTTTCGATGACGAAGCGAACGAGGAAGACCTTATGGACGATGAGCTGCCCTACAACATCCTGCCCGATTCGTTGGCCCAGGTGCTGGGGCGCCTCAGCGGCGACGGTCGAGTCAGCTTGCGCAACATGTCGCAGCTTCTTATGGCCGACCCGCACCGCCTGTTCGACCAGGGCGCTCGGACTCGCTCGGCTAACCTTCGCCAATGGGATGACGAATTTGTGCTGAAGTGCCAGTTCCAGGTTTTTGAAATGTCTATATCTAACGAATATTTTTAGGCCCTGATCCCCGCTTTCGACCCCCGCCCCGGCCGCACCAACATCAACCAGACGCAAGAAGTCGAGCTGCCTGCGACAATTTCGGAGCCCACCGCCGCCTCGAATGCCCAGCCAAAGAATGTACGTTGTTACAGGCTTTCTTTCAAACTGTCTTAGACTTCGGAAGCCAAAATTCGTCTCTTCCTTCGTGGACCCAACATGCCCGGAATCGAGAACATCACCTTCGAGATGGACAATGACGATCATTCCCTATTCAAATGTATCCAAAAGCTCACGAACAATGTGGAATGGCAACAGGTAAACGATCACCTCGCAACTTTCAATTTGTTTTTTTTAGAAGGGCGATCGGAATCGCAGAATCTTCGATCCGGTCTACACATTGATATACGAGGATGCATCGGCCGCCACAAACATCGATGCGTTGGCGCTGCCATCGGAAGATAGCAAAGTTCCCGACATCGTGAACCAAACTCTGGACGCCCTCAATCTTTTGGCCAAAGTTGGCGCCACCCTGCCCGAATCGGAACTGCCTTCCAACGTCTTCATCTCCGACAAGCTGTCGCAGAAGTTGCTGCAAGAACTCTCGGATCCGCTGGTGGTGGCCGCTCGTTCGATGCCGGATTGGTGCGAGCGACTCGTTTATTCGCATCCGTGTCTGTTCACGATGGATACCAGGTGAGACTGATAATTTTACCAATTAATTTTCTTTATAGGAATATGTACATGGGCGCCACAGCTTTCGGCGTCGCTCGTTCGATCGTCTGGATCCAATCTCGTCGCGACGCTGCCCTGGAGCGTTCGCGTGGCACAGGAGCCGGAACGCCCAACCCTTCATCTGCCGTGCGTCGCGAAGATGCCTACGAATATCGTGTTGGCCGCCTGAAGCACGAGCGCATCAAGGTACGATTTCCAGTCTCGACCCAAACAGTTGTTTAGGTCACCCGCGCTGAAGACGAGCTGCTTGAACAGGCTATTCGCTTGTTCCGTTTCCACTGCAGCAACAAGGCCGTGCTGGAGATTGAGTACAATGGAGAAGAAGGAACAGGACTTGGCCCTACCCTCGAATTCTACGCCCTGATTTCTGCCGAAATGCAGCGCAAAGCTCTGGCGATCTGGTGGTGCGATGACCTGGATGAGACGCAGCTGAAGCTTGAGGTATGCAATGGAAAATTATTAAAATGGTTTTTTAGGAAAAAGAGCTCGACCTCGGCGAGGGCAAGAAGCCGCCCGGCTTTTACGTCCGTCGCGCTGGCGGCCTTTTCCCCGCTCCTCTGCCACCAAACACCGAGCAGCGCCGTCGTGCAAATGAACTCTTCCGTGTTCTCGGCATCTTCATGGCCAAGGTTTTGCAAGATGGACGTCTCGTCGACATTCCGCTCTCCCCATCGTTCCTGAAATTGGTCATCCACCCGAAGGTCAGCACCCGTGCCACAATCGCCGATTTGGACGGCGTCTTGACGCTCGACGACTTTGAACTTGTCCACCCAATTAAAGGTAAATCCTAACTTCTGCTTTCACTTTTTGTTCAGGCCGTTTCCTGAAAGAGCTGTCGTCTTTGGCTGCGCGCAAGCGGGCCCTCGAGTCTGACGATACCATCGACACAATTGCCAAGCGCCGACGCTACGACGAGCTGATGTTGAATATTGGCGGCGCCCGTTGCAAGGTTTTTTAGTTTCGGCATATCAAACGAATGTTTTTCCAGATCGACGATCTTGGACTCAACTTCACTGTGAACCCACCATCCGCTGTGTTCCAATACAAGGAGATGGAACTGATCGAAGGTGGAGCGGACATGGACGTGACGATGGAGAACGTCGAGCTCTACGTAGAGAAGTGCTCCGACTACTATCTCAACTCTGGCATCGTCGAGCAGGTAGCTTGAGTGTCATTTTCTATTACCAACCTTATCAGGTACGTGCTTTCCGTGAAGGATTCGACCGCGTCTTCCCGCTTCGCTCGTTGCGCTCATTCACGCCGGAGGAAGTCCAGGTTTGGACCTAGTGAAGTTCCGTAATGTGCTTTAGTGCCTCATCTCTGGTGAACAAAGTCCGGTGTGGAACCGCGACGATATCCTCAACTACACCGAGCCCAAGCTCGGCTACACCCGCGACTCGCCCGGTTTCCTGAAATTCGTCGATGTCATGGACGGCCTGACGCCTGCCGAAAGGAAGAACTTCCTGCAATTCGCTACGGGATGCAGCAGTCTGCCACCTGGTAAGGAAATTTTTACAATTGGCCGGATAAATTTTGTAATAACGGGTGATTCGATTCTGATTTCGATTTTTAGGTGGCCTGGCCAACCTGCACCCGCGGCTGACCGTGGTTCGGAAGGTCGAGAGCGGTGACGGCAGCTATCCATCGGTCAACACTTGCGTGCACTACCTGAAGTTGCCGGATTATTCCACCGCTGAAATTCTTCGGTTAGTCCCTTCCCTAAACCATAACCTTTTCTTTTTTTTCTAGTGAACGTCTTCTGACGGCCATCAACGAGAAGGGCTTCCACCTCAACTGAAAACGGCTTGCTGTTGTCCCACTTACACTACCCAACTATCAACCGCCAAATGTACATTTCTGGCTTTGACACGGCTGTAAGCTTTACGGGTTGTCCCCCGCATTGTGTGTGTTTGTTGTCTTTTGTTCCCCACACCCTCTAAACGCTAATCACCATACCGTTGCCTTTCCCTTGTGCACTAGTTGCCCTCCGGTGTCTCAAATGTCCCCTTGATTTTTATTCTAGTTGAATGTTTTATCCTTTTCCTTGAACCCCTACACAGCTGGGAGGTTACTTGCTGTGTACAATCGACCCTTTTACCGCCGATAAATATGTTTTTACAGAATACTGAATACAGAATACGTGCTTGATTTTTGGATCGGCCTGGGGTGGCATCTGGGGTCGTGCCTGACGATTTGGCCCCAAGGGGGGTACGGAATTGAGGCTAATTTGGCGGGGATGAATCGAAGGGCCCGTCGGGCCAGCGTCGCCAGTCACAAATGGCCGACCATCGGATTGCGCGTATCGCGGAAAATTTCGTTTGGGACGAACCGTTCGCCCAGAATTCCGGGCAGCCGACCGGGGTATGGCAGTCTTACTTTTTCCTTTTTTCAACACCGTTTAGGGCCGAATTCAGCTATTCGAGGAATTGTTGGGGAAGCACGTATCGAATAGGGCCGAGTTCGAGACGGCCATCTACTGGTCAGTTGCTGCGTCGTAAAAAAACGTGTTCAAAAGGCTCACTGGCTTTTAGGCAGAACTTTTCTGCCAAGTTCCCGTTTTAAAAAAGCTTCTTGTGAAGGGAGGGCAACTATTGGGACGAGAATGTGCACGACTGCGCCGAGGCGGAATGGAGCACGGCAGCGCTGCTTTTCCGGAAGATTGGCAACATGTTGAGGAGTCGAGGGATAGGCAAGGTAATCTTTTCAAGGGAATATCTTTGCGCCTTTGATTACTACCGTTGACCTCCTAGGGAGATCGGCTGCTCGTTGCCATGCCAAACATGGTCCAGGGCCCGCTAATCGTCATGGCCGCTGCCTCGGTGGGAGCCGTCTGCACGCTTATTGTGAGTTTTCTGGCCGAGGGACTTTCTTAAAAACACAAAGACATCTAGGAAAACGAAGCCGGGGATTTAGAGCACTTTTTAGAAAGGCACCGAGTCGCCACGGCAGCTCGCTAAAATCCTAGAGGTGGTCGAGCCGAAGCTGCTCATCTGCGTGGACGCCTTTTGGCAAGGCGATCAGCTGTTTGAGCTGAAGTCGACGATTGACGAGGCGCTGGGGCAGAAGATTGTGGGTTTTTAGAGGGGTTGGAATATTTCTAGGTTCCGATCGAGGTCGTTGTGCTTCGCCATGTCGGCCCGAACCCAGGGATGCCCCCTCCAGAGAAACACATCCCCGCGCGGAGGCCGTATTATAAAATTGAGGTATTTTCTGTCCATAGACAAAAATTGACGGATTCACTCTTTAGTTTACGCGCAGAATCTTGAGGCAGACGCGAAGTTTTTCAGATCTTTACGAAAATAGCGCTGGCTAGCAGTGTTTCCTGCCGAAGCGTCGCTATCTGTGGCAATCTAGCTTAGATTCTTAGGAATTTCGGCTGATTCCTAACACAATTTCCTCACATTTTTTCAGGTGTCAATGAAAGAGGGCCGCGACTACGATTGGAGCGATCAGTTTGTGAAGCAGAGCGACGACTTCAGCCCCGAGCCTTATGCAGCTGATCAATTCGTTTGCGAGTTTGTCAAGTGGTTAGCAGTTTTTATTCGTTCTCTGTCTCTCTCTCTTTATCTCGCTCTCTCTCTCTATCTCGCTCTCTCTCTCCATCCTACGTTTAGGGCCGACTACCCAAAGCTTGTCCCGCTGACCGTCAGCCAGCTTCTACAGGACGTTTTGGAGTTGGGCAGCCATCTAAAGTCCGCACCGGGAATCTCCGAACTCCAGGTACGTTTCTTAACGGCGCGTCGCGTCACTCTAGAAACCAGGGGAATTAACACGCAATGCAATCTAAATCTAAATTTCGCAGCACGCTGGCCACCTCTGCCTTGGCGATCTGTGCTCGCACTTTGGGTTGACCGCCTTTTTCGCCATTCTACACAGAGGCCTACCGCCTATTATCGTAAGCCTGGGCCACGGTAGTGCTGATCGTAGTACACGTTTTAGTTCGAGGGTACCATCGACTACCCCGACCCCTCCAGGGTGGCCCACATCATCGCCAAGTACAAGGTAATATCGCGAGTTTTGTATGTACAAGAAAAACTATCGGTTCTGCTTGATGTGTTGCTTCTATCAACGCACAACCACTTTTCAGGCGGTGTCCCTATTGGCTTCCGGCGACTTCCAACTGGATGCCCAGTACATGGGCTTCGTTTCGAACGCCTCGCTGAAGGTGGTTATCTCTGCGGCCAAGCAGAAGCAAAGGAATTCCAAGATTTTCCCCTCGGCCACCCATCATTTGCACGCGATTTTGGGGTGATGGTTGCGAAATAAAGTGTATTTTTTTTGTTTTTCGATTTCCGACGATGCGGTGGGGCGTTTGGGCTCTATTTACACTCGCATGTTTTTGGGAGTAATCGGATTGCGGGAGAGAGAGTGAGAGAGAGAGAGAGAGAAAGGGAGAGAGAACGATTGAGAGAGTTTGAAACAGATAGGGAGCGAAAGAGGGAGAGAGAGAGAGAGCGAGAGGGAGAGAGAGAGAGAGATAGAGAGAGAGAGAGAGGGAGAGAGGGAGAGAGCGATTTCGGCTTTCCGAATTACATGTCATACAATTTGTCAATTCGTGTGAAATGAAGACTCTGGGTCAGAGTCGAGAACCAACCACCCCAAGGAGGCGATTACCTCCATTCCTAATCCTTTTAAAACCATGCCTGTTTCCGATTTCTCTGAAAATGCCCTCGAAAACACACCTCTCCCCCACCCGGCCCAGATCGTGATAGGAGCGAAAGTGGTTGGTCGGAGGGTGGAAGGCCCCCCCTCCGAGGTGGGGGAATGAATGTTTGTCCGAAATGTCATCGCCACGAGGGCCCCGGGGGTGAGTTCCTGGCTCTCTCTAGCTAGCCCTTTCAGTCTCGGTCTCTCTCGCCTTCTCTGCTTCTCTGCCCCTCCCCTTCCACAACAAACACCTATACACAGTGGAGATGGTCTGTGGAGGGGGACGTGTGCGACTTTTGTCTTCATCGGGGGCCCCTCATCGATCCTAAAGGGGGGGGGCTGTAGCCCTGCGATGAAGCCTGGGGTCAATGTATTTTTGGCTCAGTGCCAGGGCTTGGGTTTCTTAGAGTGATGTAGCACTCTGTCTCTCGTACGCTCTCCATCGCGCACTCCCTTTCCTTCTGTCTCTGCTTCTCTCGCTCTCTCTATCTCTCTCTCAATCACTCTCTCTCCTCTCTGTCACTGTCTCCCTTCTCTCCCGCTCTTTCTCGATATTAATTAGTTTTTAGACAGTGTCCCAAGTAGCGTAGCGTAGTCCCTTCCCGAAATCCAGCAACCTATCGTCTTCTCCCCCTAAAAGTGCCGACAACTTTTTCCGACCCCCGCTGTGCTCCTGCTGACGGTACCCGGCCGAACCCATCCATTCACCTTTTTCCGCGACTCTTTTCAAGCCAGCTAATGGCTTCTGAAAAAAGCTCCCCAAGCTTCAGCATGTTCAAGGAGTTCAGGGACGATTGACCTTTCTGGGCTCGCATTGCTTGCACACGGAACATTTCAGTGGCCAGCTCAACTTCCGTGCGAAATTCCAAATTCTCCCAGCATTCTGCTTCGCAAATCGTGGGGTTACCTTGGGGGGCGTCGATAATTGCCCCCATCACCCACCCACGGACATACCGCCATCAATTGAATGGTCATTCGCCCTGTTATCCATTGGCCCGTAACGGTGGATACGGGGGGAAGGGGTTGGAACGAATGGGTATCGGAAATCTGGATGGCCTTCCGCTGGGGAAGGCCATCGGTTTAAGGGATGGTGACACGTTCAAAAACTTGTCAAATCGGTCATTCTGGAGCTTTCCAGAGTTCTCTCTCCCGCTCTCTCTCTCTCTCTATCTATCTATCACGATATTTCTCTCTCCGTCTCTTTTTGCTTCTCTATTTCCTTATTATGTCTCTCTATCTATCACCATCTTTCTCGCCCTCTCCCTCTCCCGCTCTATCTCTCCCTTCATGCATGCCTTTAAACGTGTCATTGCCCCTTTAAAACGAGAGATGGTTGGAGAGTGCAAGCGAGAGAGGCATAGACAGAGCGAGAGAGCGAGAGAGAGAAAGAGAGAGAGTTAGACAAAGTGCGAGGCTCTAACCTCCCTATTGGCAGCCCGGTGTCGAGAGCCCCCTCCCACATATCCTCAAAGGGTCTCGGCTAGTTGACCCATCTAATCTTGGCCGGCTGACCATTCCTCCCCGCAGCTAGGCCATCGATTGATCCATTCGCCCTCTAAAAAGGGCACCCACCTACAGCGAGAGAGAGAGAGAGAGAGAGAGAGAGAGAGAGAGGGAGAGAGAGACAGGTAGCAGCCAGCCCTTCTATCCCCCACACCTGCCTGCCCCCATGCCTATTTTCGGCTTACTCTCGGCGTGCACTCGGGCCCTTTTTGCATACATTAATGGCCATTGCTGGAAATACAGCTGAATTAAGGGCTCTACCAATGGTTTATTGCTTCAGCCTCCCGGTCATGTGCTCGAATTGTCAAAAAAATAGCCAAAACCGCCGAATAAACGCTATTTGGTGCCAAATCTTCGGGTTTACAGTATTCTGAGCTAGCAATTTTTGTAAACCTAGATTTTTTGTAATATACGCCTCTATGAAGAGTTCGAGCAAGAAAGCTCTTCAGGAACCCGAGTTTTAAAGATCTTTGAGTGGATTTCCCATATTTTTCCTGTATTTTCTGGAATTCGAAAGTTTTTCTGCATCCTGCCGTCTTTTCTGTATTTTTCGAGGCTTGCAGGCGGTGATTCAAGCCATAATATTATTTTAAAGCCTGAAAAACAGACAAAACTTTACATTCTAACCTGTTCCTTGCTGAAAATGTCGAAAAGCCAAGTTTTTTGGATGTCTAGAATTTTTTTTGTATAGGGATTAGTATCAGCGCAATCAAAACAGCTTACATAAACTTGTTGGTTCCTTAATCATATTTTTCTGAACTTTTTTTACTCAAAATTCAATGCCTCGAAGCCCTCTCATGGTGCGCATTCTCGATGACCGGTACGAATGGACAGTCATTCCCCCAACCACGCACGGCGATCTGATCGATGGATCGGGAAGTGAGAGAGAGAGAGAGAGAGAGAGAGAGAGAGAGAGAGAGAAAGGAGAGAGTGGTCGCCTGTCTGTGACAGCTCATGCAAATATCCCCCACACCCGCCGCATTCCGACCAACAGCCGGCGGCGGCCTAACACCTAAACTGTGCGCCGTTTTCGGTACTGATTGGAGTTAGTAGTTACCGATCAAATTTAGAAAAATTATCGTTTCTTTTCTAGGTATCTCTCTCGCTCACGCTCTCTCTCACGCTCTCCCTCCCCTCTCGTTCTCTCTCTCTCTCACTCTCTCTCTCTCGCTCTCGCTCTCGCTATCTATCTAGATTACAGAATCCGCCCTTTGAAGAGACGATATTTTGAAAGCAGATGTTTTTAAAACTCGTCGAATCTGAATTTTTATAATTTTAATTTTCCAGATATTTTGAAGTTCCTATATTCACCAGTTTTACCTTAACTTTCAACACGACTTATTATTCCTCAAATCCCCCCGGCCACGCTCGATAACATCCCCCATTTATGACTCGGCCTCCCCCACCCGGGCCAGCAAGGAATAAACAAAAGCGATGAGCTGGCAAATGCGGTGGGGGGTGTTCCATGCCTCTAGATAAGAAATTCTTTATGCTTTTCAGCCTATTCATCCTATTGAAATACCTCGAACTAGAGATGCCTATCGAAATACCTGGTGCCACGAATTTTTGGTAAAATCGGGGCGGAGATATGTGATCTCAGATCTGCAAATCCTTTTAACTTCTTCAGAATTCTTGTTTGTCAAGATTATGTATATTTTTCCTTGAATTTAAAAGATAGCCCATGCGTTTGGTGCATTAAAATTTTATAAAAATTAGCCAGCTAATTTTCATAAAATGACGTGCTTCAAACAATACAAGAAGAAAATGAAATTTTAACATTTTCCAAAAATGCATAAAGATGGATCTGAGAAATATTGTTAATGTGCTCAAGTTTGGGCTAAGACAGTGGCTTCGTTTAAGCTGAAAGTTTGGCTTTAAATTAATTAAATTATTATTAATTTTTAATTTAAAGAAATTTACGCTTTTGACTTCGCCTCCCGGCCCCAAAAAAAGAAGTTTCCGGCTAGGCTTAAGCATAGGCTTAGACCTAGGCTTAGACTTAGGCTCAGGGTTAGGTTAGGCTTAGGCGTAGGTTTAGCTTAGTCTAAGGCTTAGGTTGACTAGGCCTAGGCTTAGGCATAAGCTCAGGTTTACGCTTTAACGTACGCTTCGGCTTAGCTTGTTCGGCTCAACTCAACTGGACTACTATTTATTTGTTGGTCATTTCCCATACTTGGCATCCACAGATCCAATCCACCCCCTCCCCGTCCATCAATCCATCGCCTCGTGCGGCTGGCGGGAACCGGTTTTTTGCGGTGAAGAATTTGGGCGGCTCGCTAAACGGCCGAAATCAATGCCCGCCGGCGTTAAATAATTCAAAATAGCACGCAGCTGGACTACCATTAATTTGAATATTCGGCCGTCCAGAGGTGTCGATAGGAACGCGTAACGTAGCGTAACGTAGCGTACTCTCAATAATTGATGGTGGCCAAATGTTTCATTTCCTGTTTTTACATTTCATTCGGCGCTTACACAGACGTTTATGGAAACAAATTCCATGCTTTTCCAGGTTTCCCTTGCATTTTCACGACGCGAAAATGACGGAAATAATCGGCTTATTGCCTGTTTCCCTTGATTCTGCCTTCTCTCTCTCTCTCTCTTTCTCACTCTCTCTCACTCTCTCTCTTCCCCTCTCTCTCTCCCGTTTTGTTTATACGATTCGCCTTCCCATCCAATCGAGCGATGGGAATAAACGGCACGCCACCACCAGCATTTCCAAGCCAATTTCCTACCATTCTTTTGAGAGGGGTTTTTTTAGGTTTTATGCAAGAAAGTTCTTGTGAAAGGTCAATACATTTTGAAAAGACGATGCAAAATGTTGGAAAATCCCATTTTTAGCCCTTAAAGCATAATTAAAGCTGGCAAAAAATTGTTACAAATTTTTTTACGTTGATTTTTTAGTAATCTCTCTCTCTCTCGCTCTCTCTCTCTCGCTCTCTCTCTTTAGTTTTCGCTGATCCTTTTCCTTGCAAAAATTGTGGTAAAATACTTACAAATAGCCTTCATCTTTCTAAACAGGGTTGAAACTCCTAAAAAACCACCACTAAGCCTCACTTTCAACAATCGACTCGCTTCCTCCCCTCTCGTCGACCGTGTGACCCCATTCTGACAACAGTCCCCCACCCTCCTAGCCTTCTACTCTCTTCCTCCCACGCCCTTCGTCGAGATTTATGCAGTCTCCTTTTTTGGGCCCGATTAAAGGGATTGGGAAGGCAAAAGGGCTATGGATTTTGTTGTATTTTCATTAATTTCTGCCTAGCTTTTTTGGTCTCGCTCCGAATTTCCAGCCTTACCCTGATTTTTCAATTTCGCAGCCTCAGAACGGCTCCTCAAAAATTCCGGAATCCATTTATTTTTGTGTTTGGCTGAGTACGCGGGAAAGAGAGAGAGAGAGAGAGAGAGAGAGAGAGGGAGAGAGAGTGCGAGAGAGAGACATGCCGCGGCCTATGTCTTTTTTAATATCTTGACGCAAATTTATTGCCAAGGCAAGGTGAGCGCCAAAAATAGGACACCCCGCTGCGTGGTCTACCGTTGTACGATTTCTTATTTTCAAAACGAATTTTCGTGCTATTTGGCGTGTTTCTTAGTGCAATTTTTGACGCCTTTCCTGCTAACCAAAAACTAGCAAGCCTAGACGCATTATCGCGCGTTGCGTTTCGCAGAAGATCACGGGTGGGCAGAGAAAATCACATTGAAATCCAACCCTTGCCTTCCCTTTAATCCCTTCTTACGTAAGTAGGAGCAGTTCGGAATCTTGATACCCCCGTAGGAAGGGCAAAGATGTGTGAGAATATCGAATTTCTGCCCTGGCTGAAAGCAGTCAATCGACCCCACTTCCCCTGGATCGCCACGTTATCGCCACACAGAGTTTCTGCAGGGGGAAGACAAAAGGGGGGGGGGAATCGGAACTTCTGCCCTTTCCATTCCAACATTCCGGCCACACCCAAATCTGGATATCTCTCTCTCTGTCTCTGTCGCTCTCACTCACTCCCTCTCTAATACTCCCATGTTCTTGCTCTCTCTCCATATATATCTCTCGCGCTCTGTCCCCCTTTTTTGGCTCTCTCGCTAAGCGATACTTCGTAGTTTTCTTACTCTCTCTCCCTCTCTCTCTCTCTCTCTCTCTCTCTCTCTCTCTCTCTCGCTCTCGCTATCTACCTCTCTCCTCTCACGCTGATACTCACTCCTTCGCTTTTTCTCGCTCTCACTGATACTCACTTGTTCTTGTCCCCTCTCTCTCTACCACGGTCTCTCTCTCCCTCTCCCTCTCCCTCTCGCTCTCGCTAACTCTTTCCCTCTCGCTCTCATTCGCTTTCTCGCTGATGCTCTCCCGTTCCCTTATTGTCTCTCTATCCCAGTTTCGCTCTCGCTCTGTCGCGCTCTTCCTCTCTCGCTCACATTTTCTCTTTTTTCTCTTTCTCTCCTTCCCTCCCTCTCGCCCTCTCTCCCTCGTCTCAAATATTTGGCGCTTTTCCTGAATTTTTCAACAACCAAAATGCTAATTAATGCCAAAACACACCAATCCCAGCTGTGCGACTCCCCATCTCCCCCTCGCTGTTTGTATTTGTTGTTGGCCCTATTGCGTCGACAGCCGAAGGGAATTCCGCGTTTTTTCGGGCCCCCGCAAAATCGATTAGCACCAGCCTTATATTTCCCAACCCCCCCGTCTCTTCACCTTCTCTCACCTGCAAAAAATGCAATATTTTCATGGCATAATGGCCAGGCAATTCATTTTGAGTGTCGCCCCAATTTCTCACGACGTCAAAAGAATTTTTCCCTAATTTTTTAAGTTAGTTTCTGAGTATTTTTGAACCTTTTGGGCCTGGATTTGTGATTTTTAAAAGCTAGATTTTTTAGAGTTGAAATCTCACTTAATTTTGGTATTTGTTCGGATTAATTATGATTTTTTTGATGCTTTTCTACCCTTGAATTATACTAATTTCTATTTCCAGGGCTCAAAGTCCGAGCTTAATGCGGTATGGGCGATGTGAAGATCAGCATCGCGGAGGTGGGGAAGAGCGAGAGAGAGAGAGAGAGAGAGAGAGAGAGAGAGAGAGAATGAGAGAGAGAGAGCGAAAAAGATATACAAATTGTTTAGGTAATCGAGGTCCGCGATGGGGGTCTCGAAGCGCATGAACTGCTCGCGCTCACCGTGCTCGCCGCAGATCGTCTACCGCCGTTGCCACGAGGCCGTAGCCTCTTCGATTTAGATCATGTATATTTGGATGGACGGGGGCGAGTTGAGGTTGGTTCTCTATCTCTCTCTCTCTCTCTCTCTCTCTCTCTCTCTCTCTCTCTCTATCTCTCTAACCTCCCAAATAGATCGAAGCCGTCAGTGCCGAGAAGGTCTCCAAGGAGTACGAGCCGCCCGAGTGGGCCAAAGATGAGGATGACCCGATCGCGGCGTCCGTATTTTGCTGGGGAGCCGGTAGGAATTGGTTGCTTTCTTTTACTAATTTTAATCCTAGTCTTGAAGCAGGCGGGCTCCGAGCTGATCGCCCAGGCCGAGCTCTTCTCCCTCGTCAACATCCTCTCCGTGCCGTTAATTGGTGGGTCCAACCAGAATATTGCGGCGAGTCTCGACTTTATGCTTTCCATGGCGTAATCGGTTTAAAGGAGTAGCGACATCGGAATTTTTATGACTGTCACGGTCCCTTTAAACCTTTCCATGGCGCAACAGGTCCAAAATTATCGTAAAGTGACGTTTTTGCAGCAAAAACAGATACAGAAGCGCCCTAATTTGCATACAGCAAATTTTGAGGCGTTTTTAGAAGCATTTTTAGGATTTTGGATGTTAGCCATTTTTTAGGGACCAGGCCCACCCCGCAGCGGATGGCCCAGATGGCGCGGAATCAGTTGAAGGGACAGGATGCCCGAGATATCGTCCAAGACATCTACCTGGAAGTGATGGGAGACGAGGATGAGAATCAGGTTGGTAGTTTGGGGCTTTGGAGGAGGAGAAAAAGGAGAGAGAGAGATAGAGAGAGATAGGGATAGAGAGAGAGAGGGAGAGAAAGAGTGCGAGGGGGTGAGAGAGACAGAGATATAGTGGGATATAAAGAGAGATAGAGATAGAAAGCGAGAGAGATCGAGAGTAAGCGAGAGGTAGAGAGAGACAGAGAGAAGGTGGGGGAAAGAGAGAGGGAGAGAGAGTGAGAGAGGAAGGAGGGACAGGGAAACTCTTTCCATCGGAATCTTACCCTTATTGCACCTTTCAGCTCACCGATTCCGACATATCGGAGCGTGACCTTGAGCCGGATGCCCCGAGATCCCGGGCAAGCAGCCGAGGCTTCGACATCGACTCCGACCTGGAAGGTATTTCCTGAGCTGATTCCGTAAAGTTACTCCCCTCAGAAGCCCGTCGTGCGCACAACGAGCCCACGATCGTGATCACCGACATGGATCCGGTCAGCCCGAGCACGGCCGAAACGTCCGCCGGCACACCCTCGTTCGTCAAGAAGGCCGTCATATCGAGGACCATGGATTTCTCGACGGAAGATGAGGATGGGGATGGCGAGCGATCGAGTGCCGAGAGCTCAGATGAGGAGCTGGGGAAGAAGGTCAGTTCCGTCAGAATCAACAAGTTCAACAAGTTTGCGCAGAGGCTTCTGATGTTTCTGGGCCTTAATTTAGGGGTTGTTAGACGCTATCGCGGCTCTTTGACGCTGCAGAAAGCTAAAAAATTATAATCCGTAATTCCAGCCCGTTCCGAAGCACAACCCCTTTGACGATGACTTTGTCAGTGAGCCGAAGTTGGAGCGAAAAGAGGGTACGGTACCTTGGGAAAAATTTAGCATTTAGAAATTTAGAAACCGTTGTCACCACCACGCACTACGCATCCAGCTCAATGACAAAAGTGGCAGAGGTAGGGTGCATTAAAAATGGTTAAAGCTATAGAAGTATGTATTGCTTAAAAGGAGACGTTTTTTGGTGTGAATGGAGTTCTGAGTGGAAACCAGGCCTATTTTGTGCAGAATTTTGCGCTGATTCCGAATATGTTTTCCATTTCTGCTAAATAGCTCAATTTCAAAAGTTACAGCAATTTTAAGATAATTTTAGCCCAAATTTTCCCCTCTTTAGGGACCATTATATTGCTTTTCCCGGCTGTTTTTCCAAAAATAAATATTGTCACCGTATTCAGAAAAATTTTCTCTATCGAATAAGCTATTTAACTCAAAATTGTTGAAAATCGAAAAAATTGACGATACTTGGTATGGGCTGCGATTTTTGTATGGGAAATGGTGAAAAACAGCCTATTTCTCACCCCTGTAAGCCATCGAAGATCGGCAGTAGCGCACTAATCAAATATACCAGAATCGAATCGAATCAGAAAAAAATTCTGTACAAGATAGGCTACTTAAACAAAATTAAAACGTTATAACAAAAAAGTAGCACAGCATAGCAGATGACCACTCTGGGCCTAAAAATTATCTTAAAATAGCTGTAACTTTTTAAATCGAGCTATTTAGCAAAATTGGAAAACAGCATCGGAATCAGCGCAAAATTCTGCACCGAATAGGCCTGGTTTCAACTTAAAACTCCATTCACACTAAAAAACGTCTCCTTGTTAGCTCTAAGCCTAAGACCTAAGCTAAGCAATGCCTGACTCTTTCAATGCCGAAATCCCCTTTTTAGCCCGTAAACGACAACAACCCGTTCGACAGCGACGAGGAGGAGCTCCAATCCCCCTTCAACCAGGTACGCCTAATCATGGACTACGGTACTATGGGCACCTTTTAGTCGACACTATCCGGCCGCGACCCATTCGAGCATTTGAAAGGGCGAAGGGTGAGTTTTGTCCTTGGGTTTGGCCTAGCGTGCGTTTGTCGAGATCTAGCTAAGGACAGGGGTAGATTCAGGAGCTTACAAAAACCTTTAGAGTTGCTTAGAACCGTCATATTCAGGCTGAAGATGAGTCGCCGGTTCCGCCAAAACGAATGCACACCAACGAGCCGATTCCCGCGCCTGCGCTAGTGCAAAATAGCACGGAAGGTGCAAAGAAATTGGTAAGTAGATGGGAGAGATCGAAAGAGAGAGCGAGAGAGATAGAGAGAGAGAGCGCGAGAGAGAGAAAGAGATTGAAAAATAACTTATTACTTACTTTAGACTCACAAATTCTCGTCGGGCTCAGACGATATTGTACACGCCCATCTATCCGATGACGACCTCGAATCGTCGACGCGCAGCAATCAAAAGGACTATTTCCTCGAGGTCGGTAGTTTTTTAGTTTGTTTAAAAACAAAACTTTCAGATTGAGAAAGAGATGCGGGACAAAGAGGCCCCGTCTCTATCTTCAATCGCCGAGGTCCCGACTCCAAAAGCACCGCCGAGGAGCCAGAATAAAGGTTAGTTTTGGGATCTTTTGAAATTCCGTGGTTTTATTTTGTAGTTTGTAGCCCGTAAATTGGTGTAGTTTGGCACAATAATGCTATTAAACTGAGAAAAGAATATGGTAGATTTTTTTAGCGTGGCTTCTAACTTTTTTGCTTGAAACAGTCTTATTTATCTTATTTATTATGTATTTTGCTGTGGCACCGGAAATTAGATGCCAAATTGCACATTTTTGATGGCCTAAAGCTAGAAGAGAGAGAGAGAGAGAGAGAGAGAGAACGAGAAAAACCTGCAGCTCACAAACACGCCAAAACTTTACTTCGTTTCCACATTCCTCACAACGTCCGATTAGTAGACAGCCGTGGCCGCACGCCGAGCTCGAGCGTCACGTCCAGCATCTCGGCCGTCAGCAGCTTCAAGGAGGACGAGTGTCAGTTATTTTGCACAACATTCTGGATTTGTTTTGCACTTTTTTGTTGCTTTCCAAGGGTGCCCTTTGTAGTCTGCCGGCATTCTTAACAGGCGTTTTTTGAAGCTCGGCGTACTTCGTAAACCTGTGTAAAAGTTAATAGGGTTGTTTGTGGTATGCATTAATCGTAAGAAAATGAGAAGAGGAATGGAGAAAACTCCTACAACCACGAGAAACCCAGCAATTGAGAGCGCAACGTTTTCAGCGAGTTCAGCACGCGGCGGCCCGAACTCCTCGCCGGAGCCCCTGAAGAAGCCGGTGATCAAGAAGGCCGTGCCGGAAGAGGCCCCCAAGACCCGCGGTCTTTTCACCAAGAACCCGAGGAGTCGAGGCGGTATAAAAAATATCGCGCAATTTCTATAATCCTTAACCTCTAGAGCGCCGCAACACGAACCCGTTCGACGACGATGACGCCGAGGAGGAGGCTTCTTCCTCGGACAGTGACGTCGATGAGCGGCCGGCGGCGAACAATCGGCGGTCACCCTTTGGGGCGCAGGTTTGCAAATTTAGATTTATACGTTTAACATGTCTTTGAATTTTTTCATGCCTAAACTCCTTGAACTTGATGGCTCATTTCAAAAGAAGTTCAAAGTCCCGATTCTCACTTCTTTGAATCGAGACGAATTGAACTTCTTGAGCTAGATGGCTAGCTAGCTTCAATAGTGTCGAAATCTGTAAATTCCCTGGGGCTCAAAGAAAAATCACCATTTTTCATCTATTTTCAGCAAACCACTCCCACGCCCCCGGGCCGCAAAAACATCCCGAAGACGCTCGAGCTGAACCCGCCGAAGGAGCTCGACCTCGAGGAGAAGCAGGAGGAACAGGAGGTTTCTGAAAATCCAAGCCATCCACGTGAAGCCCAGGAGTCGATTGACGACATCTTCAAGAAGGAGATCCAGAAGAGGAGGGAGAGCCATCTACCGGTCATTGGAGTTGTGGAGGGGAGAGGTGGGTGATGTTTGGAAAGAGAGAGAGAGAGAGAGAGAGAGAGAGAGAGAGCGCGAGTGAGAGAGAGGATGGATCCTAAAAACAACAATAACCAAATTCCAGGCACTCCTCCTTCCGTTCGAGACTCGCCGCATCTGTCCGGCTTCCAGCGCAAGAACAGCCTGACCCCCGGGCGAGTGTCACGAAGAAGTACGCAGCGGAGGCGGGTTGGAAAGGTGAGATTGTTTGAACCGTCGGTCAAATTTCACTTTGGGTAAATGGGTATCTGAGATTTTGCAAATATGACTCTGAAATCGAGGGTGAAAATCTGGGGGCCTCCGTGTGGGACATACACGTCATCCGAAAATCGGGGCTGTCACTCGAGGGTGTTGGTCCGCGTTTCGGGACGCACGGGACCCGAAAACGGCTCGGGATTCGATTGATTTTTGTGGGGGAAATTTTCGGATTGTTAAGGGCTATTCAACTCATATATGTTCTCTCTTTCTCTTTCTCTCTCTCTCCCGCTCTCTCTCACTCTGTCTCTCGCCTCCGCTGTCTTTTCTCATGCTGCCCGGCTTCTATCTTTCACTGTCCCTCTCTCGCTCTCTGATTTCATCCTTGTCTCTCATTCTCGTGCTCATTCTGAGCCTCATTCGATTTTTCGATCGAAAACTCCTCTGTCTCGAGGTCTACCTGCATGTATGTCGCTCTCTCTCGCTCTCTTCCCACTCTCTATTTCTCTCACTCACTCTCTTTCTCTCTTGCCCCCCCCCCGCTATCTCTCTCCCTACCTAATACCTCTTTTCCAGACACGATCCGAGCCCGAATTTGTCGACCGGAAAAGCCAACCGGCCTTCCGCCTCAAGGCGCCCACCACCAAGAAGGTACTGTATTTTTTTTTTCTTCTTTGCTATAATTCCCCTTTTTTTCCAGAAGAAAATGGTGCTCCACCGCGTTGAGCAAACCGACGTTATGGTCGAGCTGTTGAATGGGCAGAAGATTGAGGTAGAATATGCCGTCCCAACCCCTTTAAAGCAAGTTTCAGGTGTCGTGCCGCTCCGACGTGCTGACGGCCGACGTCTTCAGCCTGGTCGTCGGCCACATGAACATCAACGAGCACGTCTTCTTCGGGCTTTCCGTGCTGAGAGGTGGGCTTTTTTCTAGCTACTGTACGGCCATAGAACTCAGTCGTTGATCCAGGTCACGCAATCCGATTCAGATGGCGAGCACTTTTTCCTCGACGACGAGCAGCGGCTGGAGAAGTTCGCGCCGTCTGGGTGGAAGGACCGGACGCGACGGGTCGGTTACACGCTGCACCTGCGTTTCCGCTTCTACCCCCAGATCCTCGAGTTTATCAAGTGGGTTTTATGAAAATTCCTCGGAACTTTTCCAGAACCGACGTAACGCTTCATGAATTATACCTTCAATTGCGCCGCGACATCCTGGAGGACAGACTACAACCCAAAAAGGACAAGGCCTACGAACTGGCCGCCCTGGCGCTACAGGTTTGTAGTCTGTAGTTTCCCGGCTTTGCACTTTGTATATTATCATTTAGTTTGCTTTATAGTCTGTAGTAAAGGACAAAATGTGTAGTCTGTAGCTGTACGCTCGTTTTCAGGTGGAATTCGGAGACCGGCCACCACCCGCCGTCAAGGACTACTTCGCCATGGAGTACTATTTGCAACGGGTGAGCATCATTTTCTTGCTCTCTCTCTCCCTCTCTCTCTCGCTTGCTCTCTCTCTCTCTCTCTCTCTATCTCGCTCTCCTGAAATAAATACACCCGATTTTTCAGCGCTTCTACCAATTCGACGACGAGAAGGCGGTGCAAACAGAGATCGGGCAGCGGCACGAAAAATATAGAGGACTTCGGGCAAAGGAGGCCGAGACGCGCTATATCCAAGTGAGCTTTTCCTCTCTCCCTCTCATCATTCCTATCTCTCTCTCTCGCTCACTCTCTCTCTCTCCTACCCACGCCCCATACCTTCACTTTCAGGTCTGCACATGCCTACCGGATTACGGTGCTCATCTACACCGTGTCTTCCGGTCAAAGCCCTCAACGGCCCACGGAGCATCACCCTTTGATCCGGATACCGGCGCGAATATGTGGATCGCCATCATGCCAAAGGGGATCATTGTGCTAGAGGAGCAGGTAGAGGAGCATGAACGCGATTATGTGTAGCCCGGGTTTTTCTGGGGATTTAAGGACAGGAAAATAAAGAACCGCTTTCCATTAAAAAAATACGTCTTCCAGGCGGGCGTCCGGCACAGCCTGGCCGAGCACGTGTGGCAGTGCACGCAGACGCTGCAGTTTGACAAGAAACGGTCAGTTTTGGAGAAATGGGGATGCGGTTCGCCCGTTTAGAAAATTGTCGAAGTCGAAAATACAGAAATCCGACGGATTCCAAAATTACGGAATTTGCATAAGCAAATCCTCCGAAAAAAAAGCGCGATGCTATGCAAAACCTTCGACATTACGAATTTCGGCGTTATTCTTTTCGACAAGTTTCGACTTGAGATTTCGATATTCTGAAATTTCGACAACATCAATTTCGTCGTTATGCTTTGCCACAGTAGGATAGCAAATCGGCGAAATCCATAGCCGTCCCTTGCCGGTCCCTTTAAAATCCGCTGTTTCAGATTCGTCATCGTTGCCCAGCGGAACGGGGAGCCATCCGAGACGGTATTTTGGACCGACCACTACAGCAAGTAAGTCTAGTTGACCTACAACTCAAGCAAATTCGTTAAAAATTTGAATTTGGATGAAATAGCCAGCCATAATATTCAAGTTACAATTCACTTTTCGGTAGTTTTCAACATGCCTCTACACTGCTAAAAACCATGAAATAAATACTTTAGCAACAACTATGTGTGGGCGGGCCCGGTGGACTATAAGTACGATACGATACTAATCACGAGTCCAGATGTGTTTCAATTTTCCAAATGTCGCTGAAAAAAACCCGATTGTCCGCTGTCCGACCGCCCCTAAATGTTGCTCCAATTTGAAGAGGGCGTGCCAGGGTGCGTTGAGGGTTGTGTTGCGGCTTGCGTTGCGGCTCGTGCTGCGGATCGCGTCGCGTCACGGCTCGCGGCATGGCTAGCGTTGCGTACACGTAGCGTCTCGCGTCACGATTTGTGTATCGGCTCGCGTCACGGCCCGTATCGCTCCTGGCACACCCCTTTAAATAGCCATCCCTACGTTCGCGCTTCTCTAACCGATTTGTCCACCCATCCGGCTTGACTTGGCCCCTCGGTTTTAGATTTCAAAGGTACGCTGAAGGCTTGGGCACTCTGCTAGCTCGCCAAGCCACTTCAACCGTCCTTTAAAATCTTGGCCACCGTACTCTTTCTGAATCCCGGTTTTCAGGTCGGCCTACTTTGTCCGCTTTGCCGCCTCGCAGCACCGGTTCATGATGCGGATGCGGCAGTGGAAGAACACGCTAAAGTGAGTGCGGAATTTTGGAGTATGCTATGGGCATTTTTTTGACGTCGCGACACGCGATGCGCCTCTCTATTTCTTTGCATGATGACTTACACGCGTTGCGTGTTGCATCGCGGACCCAGTCTCATTTGAATTTCATTGAATCTAGAACCGAACGCTCCCTGTCAACACTTCCGGATGTGGCTGCCGAGGGATCACTGCCAAGGCGGAACCACCAGAGCCGAGGTTTGTGCTGAAGAGAGAGAGAGAGAGAGAGAGAGAGAGAGAGAGAGACAGATAGAGAGATCGACTTGCTATTTCGTGGTGTTACCTGTAGTGTATGGTGTTTAGCGGAACCTGTCAGCCCCCTGGACGACGCCGAGCAACTTTTTCCAAAAATCTACCGTACCCCCTCCATCCCGACGACACCGATTCAGACGCGGAGCTTTGAAGATGATGATGGTTCGTTGTGCTGTGCGAGTAGATTTGTTGTGATTTTATAAGGGTGAGAACGAGAGAGAGCGAGAGAGAGAGAGAGCGAGAGAGAGGGAGAGAGAGCGAGAGAGAGAGCGGGACAGAGAGAGAGAGAGAGAGAGAGAGAGAGAGGGAGAGAGATGGGGCGAGGGAGCGCGAGATAGAGAGCGAGATAGCGAGAGATAGAGAGCGAGAGAGCGAGCGAGACAGAGCGAGAGACAGGGAGCGTAAGAGAGGCAGACAGATAATACGAGAGAGAGAGAGAGAGAGAGAGAGAGAGAAACCTGACGGGGCGGGAGAGAGGCAGACCGATCGAGAGAAAACGCATCCCAACGTTCGCAACGAGTTCAAAAATATTTCCGATCATTTTTGGAGCCCCTAAACCCGTCACTTTTCAGATAGCGCCGAAGACTTCCGCTCGCCACCCCACCAACCGACCCCCTCGTCGGATGAAGCCGAAAATCGGCCCCCACCCGGCGCCACCTTCACCGCCACACTCCAGAAAGACCCCTCCAGCGGTCTCGGCTTAACTCTCGTCGACGGCACCTTGAATAAGGCAAGAAAATCTCAAATTTTGTCTCATTTCTCTTTTCCAGATCCCCGGCGTGTACGTGAAGTCGATGGCCCCGGGCGGTGTCGGCGAGAAGAGCGTAGGTTGTGCTAAAAATTGCGAAACAAGACTTTTAGGGCCTGCTCGTCGGAGATCGTCTATTGGCCGTCAACGGAATTTCGCTCGTCAGCGCCGATCGGCATCGAGCCGTCGACTTGGTCAAGGTAGGCTTGGACCAATTTACCCTTCTAAGCTCCCTTAAAAGCGTCAAAGCCGTTGGGGATAGGTTTAGTCTGCTTAGCTACACATCGTCTTCACTTCGGCTTAGCTTCTGCTTAAGCCTCGGCTTTGGCGAAGACTTAGCGAGGTTCAGTTGATAGGCTTAGGCTTGACGAAGCTCAGGCTTAGGCTTAAGCTTAGCTTAGGCTTAGCTTAGGCTTAGCTTAGGCTTAGCTTAGGCTTAGCTTAGGCTTAGCTTATGCTTAGCTTAGGCTTAGGCTTAGGCTTAGGCTTAGGCTTACGATTAATCTTCCTTTCTTTCTTTCTCGGGGCGCCCAACGATAAGCTGGTGCTCAAGACACCTTTCAGGCATCCGGCTCAACGGTGCGTATCGATGTCTCACGGCTCGAAGGCGTCGCCGCGCACGCTCGCCAATTCTCGGCCGACAGCACCGGCAGCAAACCCCAGAACAACGGCCATCACAATGGGCTTGGTGCGCCGAACTCCTCGGGCACGAGGGCCCAATCCCGAACCCCGCCCGCACCCCGGAAACAACCGAATAAACGCCAACGCGCTGTTTCTGGTGAGTTACTCTAGAGCTTCGTGATTTTCGCGTCCTCTCTAGACTTTGGCGCGTTTGGGGACCAGCTGCCGGTGTTGAACAGCGACGACATCATCGCCGACAAGATGCGCGCCATTTCCGGGTAATTTCCGGTCATCTTGATCAGGTTTTACCCCTGTTTTTCAGGCTTCACCTCGATGAGTCGGACGAGGAGAAGGGGGAATACCGGCTGCCCCCGCACACCATCTACTCGTACGACAACACCGACGAGGACACCCTGGGTGGATCGTCGAGGGGACAGGTTGGTATTTTGGCAGGTTGCCAGCAGTATTCTGTTGTTTATAGAAATACGGTTGAATTTTTTAAAAATGTTTTCAGCGACAGGCCCAAATCGAGGAGTTCGCCCCGGAGAAGTACACGCCGCCAGCGAGGGAGCCGAGGAAATATCAGCAGCACAGGTTGGTCTTGGGAAATGTGGCTTAGTTTAGGTTTAGCTTAGGCTTGGACTATGTTTTTTCTTCGGCTCAATTTTCTGCTCCTGTTACAATTTACCCATTTCAGAAGATCAAACCTCGACTGGACCGAGGAGTTGGACGAGGCCGGCGAGGATGATGGTAGGTCTCTTAAATCTCTAACTCTCATGCCTGAACGTCTTGCGGTCGCGTGGCGTTTTGCAGGCAGTCCCAGAACTTGACGACTTGAATTTTGCAGACCTGATCCACGTGGAGCTGGTGCGGAACAGCGCGGGCAGCCTGGGCATCCAGATCGCCAGCCAGGCGGGCCGCGTCTGCATCAAGCAGGTCACCGCCGAGCCGGGGCTGAGCGCCAACGTGAAGCCGATGGACGTGCTGGTGGCGGTAGGTGGTTAGCTCGATTTGATTAAATGACTAAAAACTAAATTTACTGCATTGCTCTAGGTTGACGGCGTGTCGGCGATAAATCGTACGCACCAGGAGGTGGTGAACATGCTGAGGACGGCCGGGCAGGTCGTGCAGTTGACGTTGAGGTCTGGAGTTTTGTATGTCACCTAAAAGATCCCGTTAAATTTAGAAGAGAAGAAAAACAAGGTCAAACAGACGACGACGACAGCGACGAGGACGAGAAGACGATCCGTGTGACCCTCGATAAGGGCGAGGGCGGCTCGCTCGGCCTATCGCTCGCCAAGCGCACCGGCTTTGACGGCATCTTCATCCGGACGATCGGCCCGGATTCGGCGGCGGAAAAGGAGGCCACGCTCAGGTTGGTGATGGCGGGAGTGCTGTAGCAGAACACAAACTATCTAAAGGACCTGAAATATGAAGCCTTATTTATACATATTTATTATATAAAGTTTTTATATTGTTTTAGTACGTTTTTAAGACGCTAAACCTATATTTTACATAGAACAACTTACAAAAACAATAGAAAAGGTTTCAAAAAGTCGCAATTTTGGTCATTTTGGGTCGAAAAGAAAATCACTTTTCGAGCAAAAAATAAATTTTTCATGAAGATTTGCCCATTTTTACGCCCAGTAAGAAAAAACTTACTCTCCACGCATCGCATAACCAAATCATTCTTTCAGAGTCGGCGACCGGATGTGGGCTATCGACGGCGAGGAGGTCGGCACGGCCTCCCCGGCCGCGCTCGTCGAAAAGCTGAAGCAAGTCCGCGGGCCCGTCCACATTGTCGTAAAACGCCCGAAAAACATGGCCTAAAATATCTAACCTCCCGCTTCTCGTCTAGTCCCGGTTGCGCCCAACTAAATTAAAAGGCTTTTTGTTGCGGGAATTTGTAAGAACCAGTTTTTAAAGGCGAAATTCCGCTAAAATTTTGCTGCCCCCGATAAGTCGAATATTTATTTTATTTATATCGTTGTTTCCCCTGAAGCATAATCACTTTTTCGCGCTAACGATATTTTAAAAAGTGCCTTTCCAATCCCCATGAAGCCCCCCAAACAAATCCTTGCCTTATTCCCGCAAACCTTGGCCTTCAAAAGATTTTTACCACTTTATTTTCTCGTGTCCCAAAGCATTGGCGTGTACCTATAAGCCCCTACTGCTCAACCAGCGCAATGACCCCAATTATTACTTTTTTTATTACTTGTTGTTTCTGAGCTGCGTCCTTTCGAAAGTTCTACACATCCGGTCGGCCATTCAATGTTCTTTTTACCATTATTTTCATTAGTTATTTATGTTTATTCGCTGAGATTCCGGCACTACTTATTTACACGCGCGCCCCCCGCTGCGAAACAAAATACATATATAGGAATGTGTGCAAATGGAATATTGTGAAAAAAATATGTGATACACGCAAATAAACACCGTTCGCTTGCAATAAATAATTGTTTACAAAAATCGGGCGAAGGCATTGAAATCGGGGGAAAAGGCATCGAAAATAAATTCAAAATGAGTAACCCGTTTTCAAAAATAACTATAAAATGCAGGTAAATTTACCCATAGAGAAAAATTAAATAAAATTTCCGTTCAAAATCGTTGCGCCCCCGATGTGGGCCTTTTCGGCCATCTGACCGGTTTGCGACGCTCCATCAAAAATTCGAATTGGATGTCCAGCGCCGTCTCCATTGCTCGAATCTGAAAATCTAAGCGTCCAGCTCACTGCTTGCAACCAACTCGTTGTGAATGTTCTCCATAGAGCTCGGCGGCACTTGGCCTTGGCTCTGGCGTCTTCTCTAGCGGCTTTCGCTGACGATTGCCGCCGTTCATCTTGGCAAACAAGGAGACTAAAAGCTTCTTTCAGTAATTTCATTGCCTATACTTACCCGTATCCAGGCAAAACTTATTCTGCACTTCGGCTATCCTGTCCTCATCTGGGATAGGCTGATATCCATATCCAAAATTCTCATCAGCCGCGATTCGCGGAATCTAAGCAAGCTCTTTATTTGGCGGTTGGCACAAACCTTTTGCAGTCGTGGGTTGATTGGCAGCGGATTTGTTCGTTTTCGACTCGTTCGTTCTAAACGCTGTGATCCGCATAGTATTTCAAAACGTACTTTTTATTTCCGCAGACGGATGTAACGTCTCGTCGAGCTGTTTGCTCAATTCGAGTATTTGTTCCTGAATTAGCTTTGATTTCTGCTCTCCTAAGGAACGTCAGCAGCTTTATTCGCAACCAACCTCTTCGAAAGAGCTGCTCGAGCTCGGCCGATCTGTTTGTCTTTTTGCCATTGCGCGGGCAAAGTGACGTTTCCATCTAAAGGCGTGCTTTTTAGTTCTTTTACCTACTTTTCGCAGTAATCATAGTGCTTCCAGTAGCCGCGAAAACGGGGCAGCCCGGCCCACTCAGTCTTGCGGACAGGATTCATCTGCCACTATGCATCTGTATTTTTATCAACCACGCGTCACACAAACGTTCGAATTATAAGTCTCCGCTAGTTGAATGTCTTGGAAAGTCCGCTGTATCTTGTACCGAACCGCCATTTCACGACTAATCCTTTATTCACATCGTAGCATTGGCAAGGTATAATCACAGAGACATACAGAGACTGGGATCTGATTCAAGCGGTAAGCATGTAGCTATAATATTTGACGAAACTTAAAAATTTTAAAAAATGACAATGAGATGCGAGAACAGGCGCGGGACTAAAAGCTAGCTAGACACGTAGGAAAATTATGGGGGGGAGTTTTATAGTTGAGCTGGCGGGGCCGTGGTGATCAGAAGTCGCCCATGTGCTCGGGGTGGTCGCGCAGGCAGTCGATCAGGTCCTTCGGTTGCAAGGCACCCGAGCAGATTCGGTGGACGGCGGTGAAGAGCGGGAATCTGGAGAGCTAGATGAGAAATTGATAGAAATCATACTTTTCGTGGAGTCCATCGCTCTTCTCCATCATCAGATAGACTTCTTCGGCGGTCAGAGGTCCTTGTGCGGATTGGCCGTTCAGCAGCTCCTTCTCGACCTCGGCCAGAGGCTAGAAAATAAGGAATTTACTAGCGAAAAATCAAATCACCTTTCCGGACTTGACAAAAGCTTCACAGACACGGCGGTTGCGGCCGCCGTAGCAGGTGGTGATCAGGTCAGCAACGCCGCAAGACTCGAAGAACGTTTGAAGGTTGGAGCCTGGGTAGTAGTGCTCGACGAACTGAAAAACATAAATAAAAAATAAACAAGTAAAAACCTCACCTTGGTCATCTCCATCAGCCCAAGGCGAATAATCGCGGCCTTCGTGTTATCACCGTAGCCCAGGCCATCTGAGAAGCCGGCAGCGCACGCGACAATGTTCTAAAAAGATCAAATAAAGTACCAAACCCGAAAATACCTTCAACGCGCCGCACAGCTCGACGGTGTGCCCATCGTCAACGACGCTGATGCGGAAATTCGGGGTGTGGAAGAGCTTCTTGAGGATCGGGCCATCCTTCTTGTCATTGCAGCCGATGGTGGCCTCACAGAAGTTGTCCGAAGCGACTTCCGGGGCCAAATTCGCGCCCATCAGGGCGTAGCACGGGATGTTGAGCGCATCCTAAACGCAAATGTAATATACAGCAACCACAAAATGATTTGAGTAAGTTACAAAAGTCAAAAAAGGTTACCGTAATTTCCTCCGAGATCAGCTTCAAGCCACCCTCCTTGCGCACCGAGACACCCTAAAACCAGTTACGGGAAAAGCTCGGTAAATTACCTTGATCAGCGAGACGGCCTGGACGCCACCCTCGGCCTTGAGATTGTCCTTGAGCTGCGAGCAGATGCGGGCGACGAACTGATGGGGTACGACAAAGATCAGGATGTTGGCCTCGCGGCACGACTCGACGAGGTCCGGGACGGCCACCTGAAAAGAAGACATTTTCGAAAAATCAACACTATCTGACGATGTGGACAAACACGTACCACGTTTTCCGGTAGGATTTTGCCCGGCAGGTACTTGACGTTCTCGTGCGTCTCGTTGATGATCTCCGACAGCTTGCGCCCGTCCACCATCTCCTCGAAGACCCACATCCTAAAAAAGGTAATGTTAATAAAGCTAGTGAACAAACTTGACGATGGTGTCGAAGTCGCCGGGGTTCTGCTTCGTGGTGGCGCCGACGATCCGTGCAATGGCCGAACCCCTAAAACAAGATCATAAACTCTTCAAAAAAGAACATACCAATTGCCAGAGCCCACAATCGTCACTCTCAACGGGGCCATTCTGCTGAGAATTCTAAAAAAAAAGATTAGAATAAGTCGTTCCAAAGTAGAAAGAAGAACAGAGAAAGTAAAAGTCCAAAGAAGAAAAGACGGTAGAAGTTCGGCAATTCTACTATACTGGATGTTTCATGTCGTTTTTAACTGGCGAATTAACTAGACGAGCGCTTTCGTTTGAAAAACGTTGCGAAAGTCCCAACAAAGGGATAGGCTTTTTAAAAATCACCACCAAATCACGCAATGAGAAAGTGCATGTGAATATGCGCCGATCGGATGTTGTGTATTATTAGCGAAAAGGGTTGTGCCAAAAAAGGTCTGGCGATGATAACAAGTGCGATAGAGCGCGCGCAGCTGCACGGGAATGGGAGGTCTTTGATCGCACGACGTGGTAATGTTTTTTTCGGGCCGATCCGAACAGCGATTCGGAGGGCCCACCCAATCGATCGGCAGATTATCGAGAGGATAATGGGCTGTTCTTTGGCTTACCCAAAAAAGATCAAGGTCATCGCGCGGAGAACAGTTTCGGGCTACTTCTGGGCTGAGATCTGTGCCGAGTGCGGTGTTCACGGCTAGACAAGTGAAAAAGAAGGGGTCGATGGTTGAGTGTTTGTTTGTTTACAGACTGTCTACACAGCAAAAATAGATGAAGGGACGCGAGTTCTATGAGAAAGCCAGCCTATCAAAACTCGAAGCAGGGTGACATCGGGTAGAAAAGTTTATCAAGAAGCGCTTGAAAACTGAAATTATTGGCGAAATTGCCGCGGTTTTTGAATTCTAAATGAAGCCAGATGCCGCTCGTATCGATGAAAAGAAGCGGAAGTAAGAGGAAACACAAAGCTTATCCTTTCGATCAGCAATTCCCTGCGTTTCCACAACGATCGATCGCGGATACCGGGTCGGGAATTTGTTTTGATGGCCGCCGCGGAATGAGAAACTTTTTTTGGCCCCCGACCCCCACCCTTACTCCTATCCTGCCGCCCTTTCCACCGTAACCACTCCATTTTGAAAGTGTCACTGGTTCGGCCGGGCCCCCAAATTCTGCAACTTTGCGTGAAAACCCCCCTTTTCTACTTCCATACTTATTTCCGGTGTAAGTCACCCTTAAATCCGTATTCTAGGCGATGAGTTTGTTCGGGACAACCCCGACGGCTGCCGTCAAACCTATGTTCGGGTCGACGACGGCGACGAGTGCAAGTCGGTTTTATTTGGTCATTCAGAAAGTTGTATTCAGCTCCCGGCCCCTTTGGCCTCAACACCGGCGCCACCAGCGCCCCGGCCGCAGGACTTTTTGGTTCGACGTCCACAAGCACTGGTGAGTTTCGATTTGATACCGCGTTAACGACCATTTTAGCGAGCCCCTTCGGACTCAATACCGGCACCTCCACCGCGCCAGCCGCTGGACTTTTTGGTTCGACTTCTACAAGCACTGGTGGGTTTGGATTTTCGGCTGCTAATACACGTTTTTTTCAGCCAGCCCGTTCGGCCTCAATACGGGAACCTCCACCGCACCGGCCACCGGACTTTTTGGCTCGACTTCCACGAGCACTGGTGGGTTTCGTTCCGATACGGTCGATATTGGATTTTGATACACGGTGTTTCCCATGACGAGGAGTGAACAAAAATTTTTAATTTAGGGGTTTCCAGGCTTGTAACAATAAAATACTATATTTTTATCCTGTTTTTAGATTTGCGAAAACAAAGGATCGTTATTTTTCAAAGCCTGCTTTTTTAGCTGGAGGAGGCCTTTTCGGAAGCACTACGACATCGACGGCACCGGCGGGTGGTGGGCTTTTTGGAAGCACCGCCACCTCGACGGCCCCTTCCACTGGTCTCTTCGGTTCGACGGCGCCCGCTGCTGGAGGACTGTTCGGCTCGACCAGCAACGCGGGACTCTTTGGGGCCAAGCGTATGGATTATGCGTATTGTAAATCCTATTGTTCTTTTAGCCGCCCCATTCGGTGCATCTACAACGTCGACAAACTTATTTGGCGCAAAACCTGCTGCGACAGGCGGTCTCTTTGGAGCCCCTGCTCAACAGCAACCCACACAGATGCGAGACACGCTGCAGACCATCTTCCAGGTAACCTCTTTCTTTAGTTATTTTAGTTTGATTTTTAGAATAGCAACGCGTTGAGCCGATCGATCACTAGTCCACAGCTCTTCGGCGATGAACGTGATAATATCATCAGGCGGTTGAACCAGGCGGCTGCTGCTATGGGGTGATTTTTTGTGTTTGTTGATCAGTTTTGATTTTAGCGTGGCGGAGGGCTACTGGGCTGAAGGACAGCCGCCCGTGAAATACGCGCTGGACGGGCTCCTGTGTCGTTTTGTGGTTGGTTTTTTTCTCCATTCTGTAATTCACCTCTTCAGGGCGTCGCCTACAACTCTGTCTCCCATTACAATGACTCGGACGGCATGGTCTCGATTGTGATCCGGACTCCGATTACCGACTTTGCTTCCGAAAGCCAAAAGTGAGCAAATTTACCGAGTTACCTTCAACCTCTTAGGCAAAATCTTGAAGACGCGCTGTTCCGCTTTTTTGGCGCAAAGCCGGAGATCAAGCCCCACATCGAGGCGTACAAAGTGTTGCCCGAAAATTGTACAGAGGTAAAATTGCGTGTTTTATCTAAAACCTTAATTAGGTCACATTCTACATTACGCAAAAGGGCAAGGGCCGTATCACCAGCATAGAACTGTGCCAGTATCTGAATCAGAACGATCAAAAGAACCAATTGGTGCAGCAAATGAAGGTATATTTGTTCTGTCTTTTCCTAGAATGAATTTAGGTGGACCCGGAACGCATCGTCAGCAAATGTAGGATGAACCAGCAGCAGATGATCGAATACCTGAGAGATTTGCCTCTAGGTGAAGCACGATGAATTTTTTGCATTTTTGTTTAGGGCTCGATCAAATTATTTGGAATCAGGCGATCAAGTCCAACCCTGACCCGGAGAATCTGATTCCGGTCCCGGTTCGAGGATTCGATGCGCTGACCCAGAGGCACGAGAACCAATTTGCAGAGGTTTGAAGTTCTTTGCTCCTATATCGTCGTCTTTCTAGATCGCTATGCAAAATAAGGTGCTGGAAGCGCTAGGGCAGCGATCCACCAGAAATGAAGCAGCAATGTCTAGTGTAAGTTGCTTATCCGGTTGCTCTTTAGTATCATTTCAGGCATGGGCTCGCTTGGAAGCGCTGCGCACAAAGCTGCAGGAGGTCTCTTTCCGGTTGATTCGGTAAAGCTGCTTTTTTTGTCAAGATAACGTTTTTCAGAGCGCTCTGTGCTCAGACCGAAGAGTGTCGTTTTGCCCAACCGATCGACGCAACCGAAGAACAGATCGGCAGCGTTGCTGAGTCTCTGTTGGCTCGACTGACCGCCCCAGGACAAGTCAAGGTATCGCAATTTTTTGCCAGGCTTCGAAACTACCGTAGTTATTGGGCTCTGGGTCATGCTTTTTGTTATATGTGGTCTAATACACCACGTCCAGTTTGACAACCTATATTTTCGGTTTAGGACAAAATGACGAGCCTGTTGGCGGAATTGCGCGAGATGGAAGCTCGTCAGAAGGAGATTGATGCCCAGCCGGGAACGATTGGCCAAAAGCTGACCGACGAAGATCTGCTCACCCTCAAGCGTTACCTCTCACGGTATGTTCTATTCTAAAATCTTCGAAAATTCCGTTCCAGTTGCCAAGACGGACTGGAAAGCCTCGCCCAGGTTGCTGTCAACTACAAGCGGGACCTCAACGTGATGCTGAAGAACAGAGGCCACTAAGGCCATTCCCCCCATTCCTCGTTGCTATGATCTCCATTTGGCCCACTAGGCACTTGATTTCCAACCTCCGGTTACACATGACGGGAATTCACCTTTCACACTGCGCGCCGGCTACGTTATAAATTTTGTACTTTTGTTTCCTCTTTCAAGATCTACACTTGTGATCCGGATTCGTTGAGACGTTAATTTGGCTGAGAAATAAAGGTATATTGATCGTTTTTGAGTGCGATTCGAATGGGCCCCAATGGTTATCGACATTTATTGAACACTCCTCGGCTTGAGATCTCTGGTGTATATAGGGGATGGTGGGGGACATGGCGCGGTGTAGATGGCATAGTTGCGGGTTTCTAAAATTGGTTCTTCAAGTTGAAGCCGGTTGTTAGTCAGACTTACATTGCTGGAGCGCCTCATAGATCATGTGCATTGGCACGCACTCGGTACCCTCAGACTCGAGCTGCGCGAAGAGGTCGAAAAGCGTCTGAATTTTGCGGATAAACTGTTTTTTTTTCCCGGAAATGGCTTATACCGTCTGCGCCGAATGGCCGCTGCGCTTCAGCATAATCCCACGGCACGCCGGGGCGAACGAGAATTTCCTACAGATCAGGGCCAATTTTACCTATTCCGTAAGGTACCCTACCTGCAATCAAGTGCCAGGGTGATAGCGACGAGCGAGAGCACGCAAAGGAGGTAGCGGAAGGCGTACATCTCTACTCGGGCTAGAAGTGTGCCATCACCCCCAAACGCATCCCTCATATAGCGGCCGGCCGGCGATCTCATTAGATTAGCCGTTCCCTAATGCACATCCGCCCCGAGGGCAGGTGTTAATTGAGTCAGCTTGCCCATCGTGCGCATGTATACTTCTGCTGCGTGGGGGAAGTGGATGCCCCTCCTATGTCTTCTGAATTGAATTCAGCAGATGAAAATCTGTAGCGCAATGTCTGGCCCCGCGCCCCGTGAGCCCTCGATCTTATGAAATAAAGATTGGCTGGGAACTTCCGCTCCGGGGCTGCACCACTTTTATATGTAGAAAGGTTCAAAAAAAAACTGGATTCTCCAAGGCGACATCTATATTTCCAGGTAAATAATCGCATGTTTGACGAGCCCTATGCCTACAAAAAGAGCAAGGAATTAATCGCCAATCAAAATGCTATCCGAATTGCCGAGGGTTTTGCCGTCATCGACGCCCGAGCGGAAAATGGAATCGAAGTCGGCTTTGAAGACTTCGAAAAAGAGGTGCCTTGTCAGCACGGGTTGGAAAATTTGTTTTTAGGTGAGGGCGACCGTCAATGAGCTTCGATATCTTGAACCCGGAAGCTCCGTCCGGGTAGACCCTGATGATCGAAGAAAGCTGATCTCAACCATCGTCGCGTAATTGATAGCTAGCGTCGTCAATGCGCCGTTTTTAGGTTATATCAACTAAAATGCGTGCCAGCATTAACAAGGGAGGATGCTCCGCCATTTCAAGGAGATCCGGTTCGCTTGTTAAATACCACAAATAACATTACCAGAACGAGCTGGCCTACCGTATCTCCACTTCCGGCACCACGGGCGCTCCAAAGATTGTTGATGTGACTTGGCCGTCGATCTTAGCCAATGTATCTGATTTTGGGTACGTTCTCCACATTGCAAAAATCGCCGTATAGACATCGCTTCGGGATCGATTCGAGTGATCGCGTGCTCTTCTCAACTTCGATCTACTTCGATCCATCCATCATCGAAATTTTCTTACCTCTACAATACGGGTGTCAACTGATTGTCGCTTCGGAAAGAGTACGAAGTTCGACTGAGGAATTTTTGCGGCTTTTGCGACGCCAGAAACCTACGGTGATTCAGGTTATTGATTGTAAACTAATAATAATAAACTTAATTCTAGGTAACCCCGGTCGTGTTGACCCTATTGGGGCAGCCAGTGTTGGAAGAAATTTTTCGGCAAGGAACTTCCGTTCGGATAATGTTGGTAGATCACGATCAAATTACCAAATGAAATAGGTTTTTAGGTTGGCGGCGCGGCGTTTCCGCTTCAACTACTGCAGCCCTATATCCAACGGAATGAGCGGGTTCGGGTCTTCAATGTTTACGGCATTACCGAGGTGTCCTGCTGGGCCAGCATCCAGGAGATCGACAGCCGGTATCATAAATTGCGCTTGTGGGTTTATGGCAATTTTAGAACTACCGAAATTACTATTGGTGATCCAATCTTCCGCACCGGTTTTGCGCTGGGCCATGATGGAGAGTTGCTAATCACCGGCGAGCGGAAGTGCTATATTGATGGTGAGAAAGCAGAGCAAGGAGCAGATTTCCCTAGGTGTCCGCTCCATCGCACCTGTACGCACCGGTGATTCGGCTCTAAAAACGAAATCCGGGGCTTACACTGTCGTAGGAAGAAAGGACGACCAGGTAGAATTTCCCGCGTATGAGATTCCTGGAATTTAGTTAAAAATCAACGGCGTGAAATTCCATCCGGCGACGATCGCTGAGAAAATTGTAAGCAGCGGCTTTGCCAGGAATGCCCAAATTCTGACCTACAAGGAGGTAAAAAAAATCCGAAACTTTCAGTCTATCGTTTTTTAGAATTTTTTAATTCTGTTCGTTGATGGCGCAGGGCAAAATACCACCGACTTGGAAGCCATTTTCCCAGCATTTCTAAAACCGGCGAAAATTTTTTTGTTGAAGGCATTTCCGTTGAATGCGAATGGTAAGTGCTACCCGTACTTTTGCCACGTACTTTTTAGGAAAGATTGACAAAGAGGAACTGATGCGGATAATCGATCGATATTACAACGAAAACGACTTGATAGGAAGATTCTGGGAATGTTGTTCAAGATTTGGAATCGACAGGTTTGCGCAAGGGTAGAAAAGAACACTTGGTTTTAGGGACTCCGATCTTTTCCGATCGTTCCAGCATTACGGCGTTGACTCGCAAGGGGCGATGAAATTGGCATTTGAGGTGGGAGATCTTTTAGAATCCGATTGTTTTTGTTTCAGCTTTCTTTATCCCATTTGATCGCGTCAATATTGGCCCCGTCGAAATCCATTTTTGATTTTTTGGAAATGTTGCAGGGGATGGTTAGAGATAAGGTAAGGCTGGCTCAGTTTAAAAAATGGGCCTATTGTTCAGAATACAAGTCGTGAAGCCCCTGCGGAAGTGGTCCACCTAGACGCTCGATGTGAATGGGAGCACTATTTCGAGAAATGCATTGATGGTGATCCGAAAATTGTGGATAGGTACAGGTATTTTGGCGGATTTTGACCCTGAAAACTTTTTCCTAAAGTCGAGAAACGCTTAGTAACATAATAGTAAGTAGGTTAATGGGGGTTTTTAATAAAATTTAACTAGATTTCAAGTGAAAAACAATTACAAAAACGTCGAAAAAATGTTTAGAGGAAAATTTCGTCGTAAAGCGGCCATTTTTCGTCCAAAACTTAGATTTTTTCGTATATTTAACTCAATTATTTTAAAAGTTTTTGCGCTTGGGATCGATAAAAACCAGTTTAGAACCAGTTCGTGAATGAGAAAAATTGGGTCCTAAGAAAAAAAGCTGGTGCAACCGATAAACGCCCCCCACCCCGGTATTGCGAAAGATCCATAAAAATTATTCCAGCAACGGCGAGACCCTGATATTCTGCGCATCACACGCGGGCGTCGTGAAATGTTTGAAGACATCCGGAGAGGTCGCGTGGAGCCACGCACTCGGGCAACGAATCGAGACTAGCCTCGCTATATGCGGGAAATTTGTAGTAGCAGGTGAAAAATTGATCAGGGCTAACAACTTGTTTTAGGGTCTCATTCTGGATCCGTCCATTTTTTTCGAATCCCGGACGGTGAAAGGCATTGGACCTTCGAAACGGGCGATCAGATCAGAACCGAGCCCGCGCTCGATCAGACTGACGGCCCAATCTACGTGTACAGCTACAACAAAAAGTTGTTTAAACTCGATTCAACAGTATGTGCGACTAAACGCCATAAAATATCGTTTTTAGGCAAAAACGATGCTATGGATGGCTGAAAATATTGGACTTTGCCCGGGAAGGCCGTTGGTTTTGCAGCAATTTGTCCTGCTGGGGACATTGGATCGAAAAGTGCTGTTTTTGGACAAGGTTTGCCAAATAGCTTGATCTACTCTGTTTTTAGAGTTGCGGCGCAATAACACAAGAGTACGAAGTCGATAGCCCGGTTTTTGCGCCCATCTCCTCTCACGCTACGCAAGCATACGTCTGTACAGTAAATGGTACGATCTATGCGTACAATACTGAAAGGATGGAACAGGTGACTTTTTAAGAATTTATTGACATACCCGATTGATTTTCAGGTGTGGAAACTCGAGCTCGGCACGCGAATCTTTGCCCCGGTCGTCGTGGCGAATTCTGAGAATTTGTTCATCTCCACCGAGGACGGGCGCGTAATTAGATGCGCCTGGGATTCAGCGAAGATGGAGCTCAGGTAGTGAATTAATCGTTGTTCCACAACCAACCTCCTTACAGTCGGAGAGATGAGGTACGAGTGGACGGGTCGCGTTTCGTGAAGGGCATCTCCAGAATCGAGCATTTCGGTGCGGCGGCGTTACTCGTCTGGCAGCTGGATGACAAGGGGCGTCTGCACAAAATTGGTAGTGCTCATTTCCGGATCTAAATGTAAAAGGCTCTACTTTCAGAATTTGATGAGCGACCACAGCGTACGGCCGTCTTCGCCCTCGCCGACGGCGCCGAGACGTTCGGGCAAATTTGTTGGATTGACGACGGACGTTTTTTAATCGGCGCCAGGGACGATTACCTGAGAATGTATCGATTGTGATTGTTATTACGCGGGTGTTTTTCTGCTTTGTTCCTCAATTTCAGGTTCTTTGTACGCTTTCTACGAATTGTTGGCGAGGTAATAAAAGGAAAGAAATGACACTATGTAAAACTTTGGTTCTTCCGCATTATCGGGGGGTGTGGCCAACTTTTTTCTTCAGATCCTATTCTAAGATAAATAACGGTTAAAAGATAAGTAAATTACTTCCTATCGAACGACTAGGTATTTCTACATATAATGTAATTTCGCTCCCCCCGATAATGTGAAAGCGCCGGGCGATCTTTTTCATGTACAATAATTAAATCTTTGAAAGGTTAAAAGCAACAAAATCACCATTTGGACCCATTTTTTTTGCGGGCTGACCGACGGAATGGCGGCGCTTTTTCCCCTGCTTTTCGGCCTTTAGTCGGCTCTTTTCAGGAAAATTGAACTTTTTAGTGGTGGTGGTGGGTTGACGTGGGCTGCGCTCGTCTCGAGGAACGGTCGATTGGGACGGCCGGGGTGTATGTATGTGGCTGTGCCCCTTCTTGCGAGTCTGACCTGAACTTCTCACACACACAAACACACTCGCGCTCCTTTTTTGGGAGGGCCGAGCTTGCCCAGGTTCTCGCCGCCTGGTTCGTTATTGATGTCCAATGACGGGGCAAAGAAATTGCTTTTGCGGATTTGCTGCTTCTTGGCAAATTTATTTAGATTGGGTACTGCTGGACTGTTAGCCAGGGCAATTAATTGTTGTTTTTCGTCTATATCTAGCTGCTAGTCATCAATAGCGTATTTTTATAAGTTTTTGGTTATGTTTGTTGGCTAAAAACCTACACAAAAATCTTTTAAACATTTTGAAAATTCGAAAAGTTGATCTTTCCTGCGCATCTTTCATGCATTTTCCATCTTTTTTACATCCATTTGAATTGAATTTGAATGAATTTGGTTTTTGAATTTGAATGTACATTTTGAAAGTAACCCTTCCTCTAGAAGCGTACCTTTCTTTTTTATGGGGATTTCGGTCAAACCCGCGCCCATCCCCCCGTTCCACATTATTTGCCGGGGTCAAACCGTCAAAACGGAGCACGACCCGGGCGAGAGCGGAGCGGCACTTGAAACATCCGAGCCCCCCAGCGAGTTGCGACCAAAACTAGTTTTTCGTTTCGACGACACGTCGATCGTGGCGGATCGATAGTTGGCGATGGGTCCCAGCCACCAAAATAGAGGCAGAAACAGTGTATGCATGTTGTGTGAGGCTCGCACGGTCTTCTGGGTATTTTAGCAAGTCAGTCATGGGGTAGAAAGATAGGTGACGTCGCTACGACGTATTTTGCCGATTTCACGTCTTGGTAGGTATTTTTAGGGAGCTATCGTGTAACATGTAGATTTTCGGTATTCTAGGTTTTCTATTATTTTCGGCGTTGGCAAATGGCGGCGTAATCTAGTTAAATTTTACCGAAAACACTAGAAAAATACTACTATTTCGTTCCTAGGAATTTCTGGATCCATAGAAAATTTCAAACCGAAAACCCCAATGCAATAAATTTTCGGGATTATGAAACTTCGGCATTGTGATAGCAAACCCGGCTAGCTAAATTTGAAAAGGCCGATTTTAAATTTTACGGCCATTATTGAGGCAAAAAAAACCCGGAAATAATATTAAAAAAGCCCCGATTAAAGCCCGGGCCACTCCGCCGGATATATTGCTAAACTTATGCCCTCTATGTACGTGGTGTGCTTTCTGTTTTGCCGGGGGTCTGGCCCGCCTGGTGAAGTCATATTGGGTCTGGGTGAGTGTGTGGATGAATATAGTTGAATGGGGTGGGCGGATATTGGTTTGTATATGAATAGCTTAGCGTTTCCATAATTTTCCTAGGTACCTGCGCATGATCGGGGAGGCCAACTTTTTCCCGAAGGTCCAATTTTTCTAATCTAAATTGGGCAACCGTTTCTAAACTTATTTTTCTATTTCGAAACCCAAAAACGGGAGAGATTCTGGTTAGAAAAGCAAAAAAAATATAGATTTTTTGGACCAAAACAGCGAATCTTTGAACTTAGCTTTTTGAAACGGTTTTCCGTTTGAAATATACTTAAATTTTGCTGAAAACAATATTAAAACATTGACACCTACGTGCGGCTTTATGGAAAATTAGACACGAAGCCATTGCTCGGTCCTCTAGGACAACTGTTGACAAAAAAACAGAGGGTCTTATGAATCACCGGGGGATCACTTTTCGCAACAAAGGCCATTTTTTGCTGACCAGCCCGGGCTTTTGGCCCCGAGGAGAGCAGCATCTTCGACAACCCGTCAAGCTACTAGACTATAGCCCAATTTTCATCATCTTCTGCCCAAAGGGGAATCGAAGAAATCCCGACAGCCAAAATACCGACAGCAGAAAGCCAAAATCCTGACAGGAAAATCCCGACAACCAAAATCCCGAAAGCAAAAAATCCCAACAACCAGGATCACGACGGCAAAAATCCCGACAGCGAGGATCAAGAGCGAAAATCCCGACAGCTATAAGCCAAACACCAAAATGCCGACATCCAAATACCGGCACCGAGGTCCTAGGCGCAAAATATCGAGAGACAAAATGTCGACAGTAAAAAATACCGACAACTACCGATAATAAATACCGACAACTAAGGACGGAAAGCGAAAATGCCGACGAGACAGAAAAACCATAGCGTTAACAGACCAGGCACAGAAACACATTAACACTCTTGGACCTATTTAGGATGTTTTCATGCAGCTATACTTGGTTTGTCGGGATTTTGGCTCTCGGGATTTTCGGTGTCGGTATTCTGGCGTCGGCCCTGCAAGGCTGCTCGTTTTCTAGCGCCTTTCTGCCTGAATTCCTCGAATTTATTTATGCTATTCCGCCGCCACGACCCCTCTAAAATTCACCGCACAATTCCGGGGGTAATTTGCGCGGGGGGCGCGGAGAGGAAATTGGGCCATTAGATGGCCAGATCGTGGCCACGGCGACGCCATCAAAGATCTCGCCCCGGTCACCCACAAATTGCACTTTTTCATTATTGTTTTTTGGGGGCCGCAAGGGGGGGGGTTCTGGTTCATTAACGGTGGGGGGGGAATTTCATAGTTATTAGCATATTTAGATTACCAAAAAATTTTACAAAGTTTGTGGGCCGACATTTTTTCGACTATATTGGCGATTTTTATCGTTTTTTTATGAAAAAAGGATAAACTCCCGTGATTTTAAATATTCAGGAATTTTTAATTTGAAAAGGCATTAAATACCATTAAAATAGATTAGATTTCATTATACCGCGTTTGCAATTCCCTAGGAAAATTTAGCCGCCTTTATTTTTTCCAAGCCAACTTTTTAATAGTCGAAACGGCTAAAAAACTGTAAAATAGTTGTGTTTTGCTAAAATAGAGACACAGGAAGGTGATTTTGACTGACCCCCCCCCCCGCTAACGCACCAGAACCTTGCAAAGATGCCATTGTGTGTGCCCGCCTAGCCACGCTTCTTCCTGACGAGCCCGTTTTTCCCGGAAATCCCCCCGGCGAGTCGAGAAGTAGAAGCGGAAGAGGAGAACGAGAACGAGAAGGCAAAAAAAAATCAATGGTCTCCTTCTTCTTCGTGGGCCCGCCCACTACTGGCCAGTGGCCGCCCGCGGGCTTTTCGCCAGTTTTTTGGGGGGATGACGGCACGGAACGCGGGGATGGCATTTCCAGCGCTCGGCCTCCCCATTTTGCACTTTTTCCGCTCTTCGCCTGCAGCTTTTCGGGTTGTTTTTAGGGAGTTTTGGGTTATAATGAATCGTTTTTCGCTCTACCTCGCTCTCACTCTCTCTCTCTCCCTCCCTCTCTCCCTATCTCTCTCTCTACCTCTCTCTACCTCCCTCTCGCCACTTTCTCCCTCCTGATATTTTATTCTAGAATTATATGTTAAGAAAATGCTTCTAATCTGTTTTTTACTATTCCTAAATGTAAAAAGTTTATAAAATGTTATTAAATGGCAAAAATGTGGGGTTTTCGATAAAAAACAGCGATTTTTGACCAAGACACCATAATTTCCTTTTTAAAAATTTGAGTTAGTTTTCGAGTTAAATTATGGCTGGGTCGAAATTATAGGAAGAGTTTACTATGAACACTATTAAAAACACACAATTACTTCAATACACATTCTGGAATTTAACAAATTTTACGTCAATTCGATGACTCGGTTTCCACAGTTATTACTAGATTAACAAAATTCAATTTTATTCGATTAACCAATTAAATTATTGACTACACTCTTCATTAAATCCTTTTTACTGATATTCAATATCCGGTTTTTGCGTGTTTTCGATATGGCCGACCGGCCGGAAACCCATTGACTCCGCCGCCCACCCGGCTTCATTTTGGCGATATTAACACCCGAGTCATAGATTCCCCTTTTTTGTATATATTGAATATTGCTAAAAACGGTTGTGCATTTTCGACGCTTTAAATCAGATTTTTGGCCCTGAATTTAGTCATTTTTTTTACTAAAAAACCGTAGATTTTGAGCTTTTCCACCCGTTTAAAGCCGGACTTGATCGGGAACCTAAAAAATGCACCTCGATTTTTGATCCGTTCCGGTCATTTTGGAGGGGGAAATCGGGCAGAAAACGGCACAAATGGCCAAAAATTGGGCGGCAGAAATCGGGCCGGCCAAAAACGCAACGCTTGTTATCGCCGTTCACCCGTTGCTCGCAATTTTTTTTTTGCTGCTCTGCAGTTATCAGGAGGGGTGTCCATATTGGTGGGTGATTTTTGGCAACCGTTCCTGCTAAATTTTGAGTAGTTAGACGCATTTTAAGCTTTGAAAGTCCCTGAGATTCAAGCAGAGGGAACAGCGCGCCCGCAACGCGTTCACCGGCCCGCATGGACGGCTCCAACTTGTTGGTAAGATTTCTGTACCCGGCTGAACCGGTACAAATTGTTGGTTTCGGAGACCAAGGCCTTTTGCTTTTACTGTACACGAAAAATCAAGGAAATTCAAAAATATTCCGAACTTCTCCA